TAACCCTAACCCTAACCCTAACCCTAACCCTAACCCTAACCCTAACCCTAACCCTAACCCTAACCCTAACCCTAACCCTAACCCTAACCCTAACCCTACCCTAACCCTAACCCTAACCCTTATAGTATATTTAATATTAATAAGCTAACTAGCTCTTACTTATTAAAGCTAGCCTTATTATAAATAAGTTATTATTATATAATATATTAAAGCTTTAAAGTATATATTAAGGTATAAAGTAAGGAAATAAATCTTTAATAAAAATCCCTTATTAAATTAAAACTAAAAATTTTCTTTTAAGTTTTTCCTAAATTACTTTTAATCTTACCCCTATAAATAATATTAATATCTTAGCCTTTATAACTTCGTATATAAATAGAATTTATTATATTATTTAATATTTTATATTAAATATTAATTACTTATTAATTAAGTATACTTTAATAAGCTAGCTATTATATATATATTATATCATTATTTAGACTTTAAGTCTAGTTAATTATTATATTTAAATAAAATCTAAGAAAAAGAATTAAATATAATATAATATAATTAAGGGTTTATAATATATTAATTTAAAGAGCTTTATTTTTATTATAATTATTATAACTTTTATTCTTTAAGGCATTATATAATATAGCTATATTAAGATATATACTCCTTTATATATTAATATTAATTATATTAAAATTAAGTATAGTAATTATAATATATACTTATTATAATATATACTTAATTAAGCTAATTATTATAAAGTTTATCGATATATATATAATAAAGCTAAATTAAATATCTAGCGTATAAAACCGCGAGGTAGATATGGTTTTTACTTTAAAAGGTAGAGGGGGTAGGTATGCCATGGAATTTGCCGACCGGGAATCGTGCGACTTCGACGACGAGGACCTCGAGCTGAGATCAGCTCCGGAACGGCTACCACTGGAAAGGGCTGTCGTGGCGCCGGGCTTACATCTTTAACTTCCACGTCACAGCTCCGCTAAACGCCCTGATATTCGAATTCAATTTCAGCTTGGGCGGAAAGGAAGCGTTAATTTTGCAAGAGGATGCCCAATGATCAAGAGCCAGAATGAAGGAGAAAATAGTATTTAAGAGCCGACAAAGACGACCACGCCCCCGCCGCTTCCTCACATCTTTCTCAATTCTTTCCAGCGAAGTCCTCAAATCTCTAAACACAGGATTGAGCTTTTCGACCACCACCGACATCTTGTACACAAGACAGCAGGATGGACTCCATCTGTGAGCGTCACACGGGTGCACTTGTCAAGCTCACCCCTTCTGGTGATAGGAAGACATGGAACGTGCACCAGGAGTCGGTACTACCGCCGCTCCCTCACTTTGAAGGCTGGAAGCCTATTGATTGGAAGCCCGAAGACGGACCTATTCAGGTAACATCCACCAGGCGAGTTCATGAGCTCAGGCTGACAATCACCACCTAGCTGTTTGGCTACGTTCACACGAAGAGCCATGAAGCCTTTGCCAGTGTCACTATATGCGGCATATTCATCGGGGTCATCTTCGGCAGCCTTGATGAGAATGTTCAGCTTGACTTCGACTTGTTCATTGCAAAGGGCCAAATCAATCTGTTTATGAAGGGTGGCAATGTAATGGCCAAGCTCAAGGTCAATGCCACGCCCTTTAAAGGCACGGATGGTGCCTTTTCCGTCCTCGAGGGCGTGTGAGGCAGGTTATCGCAGAAAGAGGGCTTTGAGTCGGGGCGGCTACAATGCAGGGGTTCACCTCTTGCGCCAGATTTTGTTCGAGTTCGTCTGCGCCAATACGTGACAAAGTCAAGGGCGAATCCCATACTGCTTACCATCAGTTGACCGTAAACACTCCGACTGACGTGACCGCCGTGACCTTTGTTCCTCACAGCGGCACACCGGTGTTTGCATCACGACCTACTCTTGCAGCGTGCATCGTGCTTTCTCTCCACGGTTGTTGATCTGATGGGAGGTCTGTAGTAGTAACTACAGCGCTTCGCCCCACTCAACGGTCGCCGCAAGGGTGCCGACCAAGTATTGTCAGGCACCGCACCTGCTGGTACATCATATACGTTCTGCACATGAGATTTGACGGAAAAGAACCTCGGAAACAACATTCCAGGTTCCTAAAGAATATCAGAGAGCGACCCTTTTCGGCGGAACGTATGTGCCGCAGTTAGGTTGCCGTGCTATGCGCGTCGCGCCGTCATCGTCAACCCCACATCGGAAAACGGGACTTGGGGATGCCAGTTTGTATGTTGTGCAATACCCCGCGGTGGGCCGAAGCTCAAACAGAGTTTTGAATGCCGGGCGCGCTTGCAGAGTTGCCCCGACGTCCGACGGCGCCGGGCCGCAACTCGACGATCCGAGCGTCGCGGACGTTTCGCCCGGGTCAATCACACGTGATAGAGCGCCCACGGATATAGGACAGACGTCCCTGTTTGGGAGCCCAGGTATGCGCGTACGTGACAGCACCATGTAATACATGACCACCCGTACTGGCATCGACACCGCCTGAGCACCGAACTGTTTCTACCGAGCACCGTTTACCTCCCGTTCCCGGCAGAACACAGCGAAATACGTGAACACATCGACGCGACCATGGCTGTGCCAAAGGCCAATCCCAAGGACTCGATGGTGTCTACGTGGCGGCGCAAGAGCCGCAGCGAGTGGACAGCTGGCCATTGGTTCTTCGAGGTTATGGGCGCGCACCCGACCGTCCTCGACAAGCCCATCCCGGTGAGCCAGCCAACCGACGCCTTGCGCTACGTGCCCGAGTGGCAGTTCCACCGCTGGATCTTGCTGCACGCTGCCCTGCCCGTCGCGCTTCAGCAGCTCTTCTGTGTCTGCGCGGGCCGCAACTTTACAACGGCAGAGGCATCCATCGTCTATGGCTTTACCTTTAATCTATCGGCCGCCCGGGAGATGAGCCTGCTGCGCTGGCTGGCGCACGAGGTCGGCTTTCTGGATGGTCACCGCGCCGAACGCGACGGGGTACCCGACCTGGCCGTCCATAAGGTCATGTGGTCAATCCTGGGCGTCATGTTCTTCCGCCCAGCGGCCATGATGTTCCTAACGTACAAGACTAGCGAGCAGCCCCGCGATATGTCGTGGGCCTTCCTCGTCATCGAGATCTTTCTCTACGGTATCATCCTCGACTTTTGGTTCTACTGGTACCACCGCCTCATGCATGAGGTGCCGTGGCTATGGAAGTTCCACCGGACGCATCACCTAACTAAGCACCCGAACCCGTTGCTGACGCTATATGCCGACTTTGAGCAAGAAGTGTTCGATACACTTGGGATACCGCTCGTAACGTATGGGACTATGAAGCTTATTGGACTTCCGATGGGATTCTATGAGTGGTGGATCTGCCAGAGCTATATCTTATTTGTCGAGATTTTGGGGCATAGCGGGCTTCGCCTGTACCTCCAAGCGCCGAACCCGTCGAGCTGGCTGCTCCGGAGATTTGGCTGCGAGCTCCTCCTAGAGGACCACGATCTGCATCATCGGAAGGGGTGGAAGTCAAGCGGAAACTATGGCAAGCAGACCAGGCTATGGGACCGGCTATTTGGCACTTGCAAGGATCGCATCGAGTGTATATCCGATGAGAATGTTGACTGGAAGCACCCCGTCAACATCCCGGCGTTCTGATAGCTGCACACCGGAGAGATAGATCAATTACTTGCTTGGCTCACTTGAGCTACTACGACAAACAACGTGGACCACCTCGATGAGGCCCTCAAGTGGCATGCATATCCCTGCTAGTTTGCGTATCTGGAACAGTCTCACGATGTGCTAGTCAGGACGGAAGGATAGGCTCACTCGTGCATTGTGCATTAGGCGGTTGCCGTCTGAAGCACACCCGTTGTCAGGGGCTTGAAGCTTGGATTGCTGCATTGGCGGGACACTGCCGGGCCTGTTGGGGACTGGAATGGTGGACCGAGCACTCCCAGTCCCCTGCGCCGCTCGCGGCGCCGCTCCAGGCCGGCCAGCTCCGTTGAGACGATTGGTGACACTCAACACACTGAACTTCGCAGCACTGACATTCTCCAGCATCAAAAAAAGTAAAGCTTACAAGCCGTCAAGTGTCCACTCATTAGCCAATGGCTTTCTCGGGAATTACCTGAACGGGCAGGCGCCGCGCCAGCGCCCGGCACTGAGCAGATGTCCATCGACAGCCACAGGCCCACAGGCCCCAGCTGGGATTGACCCCCGATGCTACTGTCCTTCCCAAAACAAAAGCAACACGAGACACCTTTACGAAATAGCACAGAAGGATTTTGCACGTCAGCTCGGGGAGGATGGTCTGAATTCAGTGCCGGCCGTCGCACAGTAATTAGGGCTGGGACACGTGTTCGATTGACTCCATTTAATGCAGGACCACCTCTACTTGCCCACAATGCCTCTTGACTGTAGACAGAACGACTGCTCCAGCAACAGGACTTCTCGCGGGCCGAAATGCCGACTTCCGAAGATATAACCGGCCTTGTCATAGGTCTGATACTCTATCAGACACTGCAATATGTTTGCCGTCACGCTGTCCAATCCCTTTTGCCCGCGCGCTATGACAACGTACGGCGTCGCGCACAATCGTGTCCAGATTACTTCGTATTCCCAATTGGTATACTCCTGACGGCCGCTTCGACACCAATTTGCTTAACAGCCTTTGCCTTCACGGACGCCAGTGCAGATAGATTTGGCCTGGCGAGGTCAATGGCACCGATGGAAAAGGTCTGCCTGGGGTCTCGCGCTGTACTTTGGATGTCGGAACTGCCGCTTCTAAGCCATTCACTTACATATGTTGTGCATCATATCCTTTCAATCAGCTCGTTGGCCGTTGTTCTTGCTCAAGGCCTGCCACTTCGACCCCTGTATCTGATATACGCCGGTCTCATCACCGAGCTTTGCTCCGATACCACCGCTATCATGAAGTTCCACGGATGGAACCACACGAACTCAACACTCTTCGCCTCTGTAGCGTCGATCAATGCGATAGCCATGTTACTACTTCGCGCTTTACCGGCAGTCGTCTTCATACCTTTTTACTTGCTGCCGACATGGAGCAACCCCACACTTGCCTACATGGCCGCAGTTGCATTTTATGTTGGCTGGCTGCTGTGGCTTGCCTTCAAGCAACTAGTTACGCTGGGACATGTCCGGTTCGTCCTGGCGAGGCCTGCCCAAATATGGTTCTGCGAGTCGGTGCGCATTTCCATCTTCAGCGTGTTTTTCGGTCTAGCAGTTGTGCTCGCGCAGACCACCACAGCGATAACATACTGCTGGGGACGAAACGCGCCGATTGGCACACCCGAGTCCCGAGATATAGCGATAATTGGGCTCGGAGCGGTCGTGGCCGGTTTCTCGGGCGCCCAACTCGCCAACGGCTGGATATTGGCAGTGGCTGAGAAGAAGTCAGAAGGAACCGGCACTAAACCCACGGAGGCCGTCATGGCGCAGGCACCTCGTCAAGTTTCGGCTCGTCCTGATTCCAAGATTGGCTTGGCAGAGGCCAGTGACCAATCCTCAGAATATGCGAGCTTCAACGGACGCATGAACGCGGGAACGAACGGATCGAAACGACAGATTACTATCTGGTCCTGTTTGAGCGGTATCTCAGTCCAGGGTGGCGTGCTGTTTTCGGCTTTTTGGGTGTTGCTCAGTCACAAGTTCACAATTTTTGTGGATACATCGCTGCTGCTTGCATCCATGGGACTGAGCCTTCCCTTAGGAGAGGCTGTTGGTAGAGTTGGATGCTATTTCGGCGGATGCTGCGGCTCCATTTCCAACAAAGATGGGAGGCGGCTTCATCCCGCACTGCAGATCCTCTGTGCCTCCCTTAACTTCCTAGTCTTTTTGTGCCTTGTTGCTGCGTTGGTGGAAGGCAGCGTCAATGTGCGAACAGCTGGTGTGATGGCCGTCCTCGCGAACGCCGCAACTCGCCTCGTCATCAATCCGCTAAGAAGCGATGCTAGAGGCAGAACTCAAGCCATCACGAATTCGCTCGCATTTTTACAACTCCTTATATCGATGTCCCTCTTCTTCAAGCTGGAGTTTGAAGCCGGAAAAGATGCGTGGGCATGTGTGGCTCTCGTAACCCGGTTGACCGGGGCAACGTTCTTCAGTATCTGGTTCGCTCGACAAGCTTGGGTCAAGGTAGTACCGCAACTACTGACAATTTGGCGTGATATGACGATGCGATGGCCATGGTTGAGCCAACCTGTGAGCTTTGTCTACGCTTTCAGCTCCTGCGTTATAGCTCTGACATTTATGAACGACACCATGGCTCTTACGGGTGTCGGCGAAGTCAAGGGGACGGGTTTTAGCCATGCTGGGGAGTTTCTCACAGGACCATGGTTCTTGTTCTGCGCGTTGGTCAGCGGCACAATGCCCGTGCTACTTATGAGCACCTGGTGAGCTGCTGTACGTAATCAATAGTTGACAAGTTTATCTTCTACGTTAGCCTGCTGGCTGGTTTGCTCTGAAGTGTCCGTCACGAATATGTGGCAATAATATAGAGAGATTACTCATATAATATCTCGCCGCGACAATGACCGCATGTAATTTCCTGAGCATTATTGACGGGATACAATTACACGGAGTGATACTGCGCCATTGATTATCGAGAGTGAATTAGTCTTTACACCATAAGACATCTCACTAGGTCCTGGGCTGGAGGGTGGGCCGTGGAAAGTCGTTCCATAATCTGTAACAGGATCGTCTTTGCTAACCCACTCAGGAACCATCCGCCGCATTGTTCTACTCGCCCAACTAGCAACGCTGCCCCGTATGCCAGCACTACAAGAGCTGCTACGTCCTGGCGCGAGACCAATTGGCTGAATCGATCTGGTACCTTGCTCAACCACGTCACCATGGCCTGGTATGTCCCGCCGACGTTATGTGATGCAAAGCTGGCATTGCAGCATTCGCTCAAGGTGGCAATGGCTGATAGCATGGCCAAGACATCATGGCCATTCTCTGGCTTTCCGAAAGTTTCTGCCATGCGGAAAGGGAGTGCATGAAGGCGGACAAGTATCTCGGAAGGCTCGACGTCATGGCCAGGCTGGATCGGGGCGATGGTATCGGCATTCAATGAGCTTCTGGTCATACCATTGAACGCCCCCTCCGGATGATGGTCATCGTCATGTGGGACGCAGTTGGACTCCTGCGTAGAACTGGGGAAAGAGAAGGCTTGGAAGGCTGACATGATGGAGTGCAAATGAAAAGGGAGGGCCATCTCCAGGGGTGATTCTTGTCCGAGCGTGGAGGGGCGGGACGCCCAGTAAGCGCAGCGCAGTAGGCATCTCAATTGCCTCCCTACCGTCCTCACTCGCTGTTCCTCCTCAACGTCGGCGGCCATCGCGGCCGAATCTTGCTTTGATATCTCTTCCCATCCAGCGGAAAACTCCGCAAGGAACTGCTCAGAGTGCCTGCGATGAGTCCGCTCGCTGGCTGTGTCGTCCGAGGTGGTGGTGGCCAAATGACATGCGGAGATGGCAAGTAGGCCGCACATGAGCCATCGTCGCCCCAGGGCTTGCAAAACAAAGTTTGTCTGCCAGTAGTGCGTTTTCTGACCTTCATGCTCTGCACAAGGGAGCGTTAGGCTTGTGGAGGTGATGAAATTGTGAAAATATATGAGTGTCTCCAAGTCGACGCCTCGTGGGAGTTCTGGTGGTACTCCAAGAGGCGCTGGAGTGCGCGCTGGCTGTGGTTGTATTGTAGTGTCCACAGTGCCCACTTGCTCATTACGCCTCTGGTCAGACTGCTGTTGCTCACGAGTTCCACCGGGGTTGTCGCCTTTGAGGGTGGGTGAAAGCACGGCCCCAAGCGTGCCTGCCACTGGCGGCAAGGTGACTTCGAAATACTTTAGCTTCGTGCCGCGGAAGAACGTTTGAAGCTTCGCCGGACCAAACAAGGAGGAAGAATTGGGAGGGTCGGTGTGGCCGTGGACCTCGCTCAGGTGGCGCCTCATGCGCTTGGAGCTGGCACACAGATGGCCGCACCCAGCCTCTGCACAACGGTACCCAGAGATGATGGGGAGGGACTCGATGGGCGGAGAAGCCGGTGCAGGCAGGGGAACATCATGCGGTTCGAAAAGATGGAGCTGCGCAATGGAGGACAACAAATGTTGCCTTCGCTTGCGATAAATTCTGTGTCCGAGCAGATGCCTCTGGAGCGCGCCCTTCTGGATGGCGTACTGGCATTCTCGGCAGATCAGCACGCCGTGACTTGCGTTGTACTCTAGAAGACCATCTGGTCCGAGTCGCACAGCACTCATGGTGCACTTGCCGAATGCCGATGAGGGCGATGAAGGATGTTGTCGTTTCGTACCACTCCGAAGCCCGAAGTCACTCTCAGCCCGCAGCCGTCAACCTTGCGAGGGCAACCCTCGACTCGCCTCAGGCAGGAACAGTTACCATCAAATCCCTCGACAGTGACCCGATGAAGGGCTAGGACGGATTGAGCTTAGTCGATGCGACACTCGCAGATCCGCGCTAAACGGCCGCCATAATCTGATGTCGTCAACGGAACAGCACATGTGGTTCCGACTTGCTTAGATGCGCGCAGTTTTAGTGCTTGCGTGGATTCGCGCCAAACCAAACCGCAACTAATACTCCTGTAACTTGATGTCAATGGAACCGCACATGTGGTTCCCTCTTGCTTATACATGTGCGCATCAGTACACACGCATCTTTCTCTTCAATGCACCAATGGAGCGCTCAAGCAAGTCAAGCCAGCGCGTTCCTTCTTACATGTTTCCGCTCTACCTTGAAATCTTGCTGTCAATTATCTCATGTGCATCTGTGCCGCGGTCAGATTTGCGTATACTACGTAGGTATTTAAAGACACCACTCTCCCAATCGCTACGTCCCTCTCCCACCTGCTATAGCAACGCCTCAGCCAATCATCAATTTGTGGCCGCCCTCTCATCGTCTCGCACTTAAAGATAAACAACCCAGGAGAAGAGCAAAATGACTCAGCCCACAAACCAAGCCGCATGGCTCATCGAGCCTGACAGCCCCCTCAAGGTCGACGTGGCTCCGTTGCCCAGAGCAGGTCCTGGCGAGCTCGTCGTGAAGAATGCCGCCGTCGCTATAAATCCTCTCGACTGTCATATGCAGGACTCGGGCATATTTGTCCAGAAGTGGCCTGCGATCTTGGGTTGCGACGTGGCCGGCGAAGTTTATGAGGTGGGCTCCGAGGTGCTTCGCTTCCAAAAAGGAGATCGTGTCATTGGGTACGCCAGTTGTCACGCCCCTGAGAAAGGAGGTTTTTATGCTGACTTTCGCTTCCTTTTAAGACACGCCGTCAACCTGGTCAGTGGTCGTCCTCAAGACGGAGCTTTCGCTTTGTATACGGTCATCATGGCCGATAAGGCGGCCATCCTCCCCGACTCAATCCCTTTTACCGACGGCGTTGTCGTCCCATTTGCACTGGAGGCGGCAGTTTGCGCGCTGTCTCTCAAGATTTCTGGAATCGCTATGCCTGGCGTCTCTACCCCGGCTCTTGGCCTGCCCTATCCGTCTGTGAACAATGTGGCACCATCCGGAAAAGTACTGGTTGTGTACGGCGGGTCGTCTTCCGTTGGCTCCATGACGACGCAGCTGGCTACCGCTGCCGGGATAGACGTCATCACCATCGTTGGGAAACATAACTTTGAACTCAGCAAGCGTTGCGGGGCGACCCAGGTCATCGATCGCCACGACCCTTTGATCACCGATAAAATCATCGAAGCTGTAGGAAAGTCTGATCTGATTGGCATCTTCGACGCCATCGCAACCCCGGAGACGTATGACAACGACCTAGCCATCCTCACCAAGTTGGGCGGTGGCTATCTTGCCTCAGTGCACCCTCCACCCCCCGCTCTGCCCGACAACGTCAAAGGGGGCATGATTTTCGCCGTGAACGACATTGTCACGCCAGTATGGAAGGCCTATGTGACTCCTGGCTTGCAAGCCGGAAAGCTGCAGTGTCTTCCGCCGCCCACAATCGTCGGGAAGGGTTTGGAGCATATCAATGAAGCTCTGAAAATGTCCAAGGCCGGCGTCAGTGCAACTAAGCTAGTGGTAGAGTTGTGAAGCCAGTTTGCGTATATGAAAAGATTCTCATCTCCGCATAGACAAAATGGCCACCTAGCCGCACTCGGGCATGTATCAATTGTTTCCCTCTAAACGACTCATGCGCCGGAAGTTACACTTTCTGGCTTTACCTTTGCCTGTTTTTGTCATTGTTGGGAGTCTGTACTTTGGGCGCCGCCAGGCGTCCAAGTTTTCATTACATGATGATGTGGTGAAAGGGCCCGCCAGCACAGCCGCGCCATCCCCTGCTTCGGGAGTCCCGTGAGACAGTCAGTTCAAATAAGTTGAAATCGAAGCACGGGGAGCACCTGCTCCCCGTTCAGTCTGCCATGCTGACCTCGTGTGTAAGCAGGCGAGGTGTTGATCGCGGCTGATATCGCAACACATCTAGATCAGATATTAGGCGAGAATGATATATTGCTGCCGACCCTGGGATGCCCGAATTTTGCTAGAGAACGCTACTCATCTTTATAAGGAGATGGCCCTAGCCTCCGCTACTACTTTGAGCTAGAACTCCGCGTCAAACTTTTTATAGAACGCTAACGAGGATATACATTCTAGGCTTTACTATAAGCATCCGTTTCCTACCTTCTCCCATTAGAACGGCGCAGCGGTATTTTATACGGGAGTAGTATTAGAATATGGTATCCGCTTTAGGAACTTAAATACGAAAAAGGGTAAATATGCGTAAGGTAAACCGCAACTGTTTTATAAGATCTCTGGTTTCGTAGCTTAGGAAACGTATCGGTTATGCTAGCAGTGAACCTTAAGTACTCTATAGAGAGAGGCAAGCAAATTAAGGAGTCTAAGGGCGTTACGGTTACGAATGTAGCTAGGTCCAGGCAAAACGAGTATAACAAGATCAACTGGTAGCCGCCCTTAGAGATGGTGAAATGCATGCCGACGTAGGATAACCGGTTCTGGCAATTGTGGAACGAGACACGGGCGTAGTTTCACGAGATCTGACGCCACGGCATATTCCTAACAAAAAGACAGGCAGTACCTCTACCAGTGCTCCCTTATTATGCCACCTCAACACAGAATTGATCCGTTCCGACGGATGCTGATCCTATCCATATCGTGATTTAGTAATCTCTTGTCCGTCATTTGACCACCCGCCTGAGGTAGTTGGTACATTACCGTACTGTTAAAATGAATGGCGCGCTAGTACCGTTGAATTAAGACTGCAGTCAAGGGCTGTGAGAGGCTCAGTGCATCGCAGGCCTCTCTCAAGAGCTCAGCGAAAGTCATATAGGCACAGTAGAGACGGCTATTCACGTTGTGTTTCACGAGCGACCCAGAATTTTGTTTCAAGGCTCGGGATTTCGCCATGGAACGACAATGACAAGCGAGGATGAATGTATTTATAGTTGGGCCGGGTATACCTGGCGCTGCGGGTTGCGCACCACAGTCTCGAGGCAGAGAGCGGCGTGCAGGTAATGGTTCATGCCGAAGGAGGAAGATATGCATGCCCCCGTGGCCGCATAAGGTGATGCTGCTATAGACGATATATAACACAAGAGGAAGAGGGGCCCAAACCCCTGAGTCGCCACTGTTTTGGGCGCGGCTGGAGCCTGCTAATCTCAACAGTATCGTCCGCTGACCCAAGAAGAGAATGAAGCGTGCGGAACTGGGAGAGCAGATGTGTACTCAGCGAACGCGACAGACTGGAGCAAACCAAACAAGGCGTCGGGCCGGGAGAGCGATCGCTAATCGCACCGCCCTCTGTACCCGTCGGCGGCGGGCGGTTAGTGCCTGCATGCCGGCCAAAAGCCCAGCTATGCTACCTCTTCAGCATTGTGTTGATGACCTGACGGGCGCAGCACAAGGTGTGCGAGACAAGGCCGGTCCCTCGTGTGATGACATGTCCTGGAACTGACCTGGTCCGTGAAAGCGAGGTCGGCCCCGTCGTTTGGGCGCCCACATCGTCGTGGGGGCGTAGCCGGACAGCCTTCCGGCATTCCGCGACTCAACTGGACCGAAAAAACACAGTTCGGCGACGCCTCAAATACCGACACCCTACCTACTTAGGAATGTTTCTCGCTGATCAGCGGCGCCCCACCCCGACGGGCGCCGACCAGAGGGAAACGACCCCAAGATCCCTGTTTCTGTGGAGTCTCCAGAGCCACTTCCCCTTATCCCATGACGACCCCAATGATGTCTGGGGTAGCGAAGCGGAGAAAAAGGTCCATAAATAGCTCCATAGCGCTCGCCTTTGTCAATCTCCTTCTTACTGCAGTTTTGCGATCCGGCTTTCGAGTCACGTTTATCGTCCTCTGGCTTTCAAAATGACGACTAAGATTGACGGCTTTGACGCCCACGCGGCAAACGAGATGGAAGAGCTGGGCCATGCGGACTTCCAGGATGACACCTATATCGACCCAGCAGCCGAAAAAGCCCTCCTCCGCAAGCTGGACATGTGGATCATCCCGCCCGTCATGCTCCTGTATCTTCTCAGTTTCCTCGACCGCGTCAACATTGGCAACGCGCGCTTGTACGGCCTCGAGGAAGATCTCGGTCTGACGGGAAGCCAGTATCAGATCGCTGTCTCGCTGCTCTTCGTCACCTACATTCTCTCCGAGCTGCCCTCCAACTTGGTCATTAAGAAGTTTACACCCTCGCGATGGATCTCGTTTATAACCACGGCCTGGGGAATCGTTGCAACCTTGACCGGCATCGTGCAGAGCTACCAGGGCCTCATCGCTTGCCGCATCATCCTCGGCGCCCTCGAAGGCGGTCTATTTCCCGGTCTTACCATATATCTCACTATGTTCTATACGAAACGCGAATATGCCCTCCGAATTGGTTACCTCTTTGTCTCCGCCGCCATCGCCGGCTCCATGGGCGGACTCCTCGCCTACGCCATCGGCCACATAGACGGTGTTGCTGGCCTGCGCGGTTGGAGATGGATCATTATCCTCGAAGGCATTCCCACCGTCATCCTCGGCATCTCCATCTGGTTCTGGCTCGCTGACACACCGGACTCTGCCCGGTATCTGACCATTCAGGAACGTGAGCTTATTGATCTTCGAATGCGGCAGCAGATTGGCCACACCAAGTCTTCGAGTCAGATGCATAAAAAGGACGTATACGAGGGCCTTAAGGATTGGAAGATCTGGCTCTTTTGCGTCGGCCAATTTGGCGGTGACGCTATTCTTTATGGGTACTCGACTTTCTTGCCGACCATTATTCGTGGCCTTGGACATTGGAGTGCCGCTCAGGTGCAGGCTCTCACCATTCCTTGCTATGCATTGGGCGCCATCAGCTACCTCATTGTTGCGTGGCTCTCAGACAGGAGCCAGCGTCGTGCCGGTTTCACCGCGATGTTTGGCCTCATCTGTACAGCCGGATACGCCATTCTTGTTAGTAATTCTCCGGGAGGTGTCCGCTACTTTGGTTGCTTCCTTGTTGCTATGGGCCTGTATGTCGTGGTTGGTCTCCCGCTTGCATGGCTTCCGAGCAACAATCCTCGGTACGGCAAACGTACAGTTGCAACTGGTCTGCAGCTCACAATTGGCAATTCTGCCGGTATTCCGGCTCCATTTGTAGGTCCTCTCACAGTACGGAAAAGAAAAAGGTAGTGTTCTAATAGCGTACTATAGCTGTATCCGACCACCGATGGTCCCCGGTTCGTCAAGGGACATGCCATCTCTATGGCCCTAATTGCCATGTCTACGGTCATATATCTCGCCTTCTGGGCCTGGTTTCGTCGCCAGAACCAGAGGAAGAAGTCTGGAAAAGAGGATTATAGAATACAGGGTCTCACAGAGGAGGAGGCTGAGGAGCTTGGGGAGCATAACCCTCAGTTTTACTATACCTATTAAGCCGTTAATACTACTAAAGGAGTCATTACTAAGCTGATAGAGAACTTCTATATAGGCATGACCGGTGATGTAATATGTAAGAATATGGTCTCATATCTATGCATACCTGATCCGATCGATCCTGCTCTCATAGAGCGACATTCGTAAAACTAAGGAACGTAATGCACGGTACGGGTCGTTTTACTTAGCCAAGCGTAGGACCACATCTTGCTGCCTGTACTGGATGTGCTAGTTATAGAAAGGTACATTAGTCTTCACGGGTATCGAGTGTGTGTTAACTCTTGTCATGTGCTATGAACCTGAGCTGAGGCCCTTGAACAATCTCAAGCGGTACCTCAGTGTATTATAGGAACAGATAGGGAGAGGCTAGAGACCCCTGTGGCAGATCGCAGTTTAAGGGTGACTACGGTGTCGTTACATAGGAGCACGGTAGCTGCTTAAGAGGCAGCTACGTATAGCCACCCGGTGAGACATGCCGGATTGGCCATTTTGTTAGGGGAAGAAAAGCACCAAATAGCGGAGCAGGGTCTGATTATATGATGCGCTCTGGTCTCGGCCCGGAAAATGTGGCGCCGCCTCGTAAAGCAAGAAGGAAGGAAAAAGGGGCAGGAAAAGGGGGTAACTCGTGACACTTAGCGAGATCTCTGCGACTGAGGCAGCTCTAATAGCCTAAGGTAGCTCATTCGAGAGCTCTCGTCGCGATTAAATAAATAGGGTTATTAGAACTCCCGGACTTCAACCTGGAGATTGTGGCGAATGATTGTGCTCTCATGAAACTGTCACCAGCGTTTAAACTCGGACCCAACCTTCAGGTTGCAAAGTTGCCGGACGCGACAACGTGTGGTCAGCCCCTGCAGGTATTTGTTCAACAGCTCGTCCGCATCCTCGTACGTCATCAGCAATAGTGCAAGCTTGCTCCGTTAAAAGATTAACGAACAGTCGTCCGAGGCTCTATAAGAACATGAGAGGAGACTAGATTACCACTTTCGAGATGCCTCCAAAACAGGACAAGAGTGAACTTCTGCTTGGAGTATGTCTAGAATTTCCCTCAAACGAGGCACGGTTCTGCCGACCACGGCCTGAGGCAAGAAAGGTTCGGTGTTACTCGTCAAGATCCCCTGTTTCGGCCCCCACGGCCCCCTGGTCTTTTTATCGTCAGCTTGTCAGCGATCCTTTCAGCCGCCCTCTAACAGCCCCCTGTCATTCCCTGCAGCTGAAGTATTTAAATGGTGCTCAGAGCGCCCCACCATCCATATCGGCGGCAATCACGATCACAGCCGGAATCGCCTACAATGCGGCTCGCCTCGGCCAACAAGCTGAGCAACAGTGACGCTCGAGTCCCGCTCGTCATGGAGAACGACCCGGAGCCGACATATAACTGGTTTGGCGATCTCGATTACAGCTGGTTTGACAATTCGGGCAGCCTCGCGTCTGTCCCCTTCTTTGAGGTGGTTCCCGACCAGCTGGCTCAGATGCTCGAAACGTCATCAGCCCGACGAACGTTAAGACTCACCTTTGGCCCCGACGACTGCATGACGGCATCTAGGAGCCGGAACTGCACGGAAGCGTGTTCTAATCCGTACACGCTCTTTGAGCCAGCGAATCTCCGGGCCTGCACTGCGCTGGCTGGCGCTGCCCTACTAGTGCAAAACGAGACGTACTCGGTCGACCGGTCAGATGCACACACGACTGAGGTCATGAATGCCTGGAGAGTTCCCGAACTATCTGCTTATAACGCCACTGCTATGCTTCGCCATGTAGCTGAGTGTATTTCCGAGTCGTGTGCAGTTGGTTCAAAGCTTGGAGTGTGTCCGAACGACGTGAGAACGCTGTCAAACATGGACATCAACGCAGATAACCTGGGAGACCTTTCCTTTAGGCTTGAGCATTATTGCCACGGAGTAAATGTCGAAATCAACGCCGACATTGCCGGGCCTGGAGTGAGTCACAAGAGGTAAAGCGAAGCAAGGTTGTACCGCTGTTAACGAGTCATTGGTCTCTTAGGTCGTACTTTCTTACCTATTCCAGACGAGCCTCGCCCTCTTGCTGTACTTGTTGATGCGATCATCCACCACGTGGGCTGGCCGAGTTGATACGCTGTTCAGAAAGCTGCGCGGCAAGCACGATACCAAGTCACCTGGGGGCAAACGAGTAACACTTCTGAGCAAGCTAGGGGCCTCGAGTCTCGGCGCCGCCGCCACCTCGTCGCTCGTAGAGTTTCAGGAGATGCAGCTTTACTTCATCGCTTCAGTCCAGATCGCAACTCTTGTCAGCTATAACCACTCGACTAGCGAGTCCACGGGCACGAACAACGCTTCCTACGCGGCCATGTTGCTCAACTCCGGATTGGCAGCTCTGCTCGCGACCTCCAGCATAGCCTGTGTCCTGTTGGTACAGTGCTGTCTCCAGCGGGCGCGCATGCATTGGTGGTACACCTTTGTCTTGATGACGTACACCTACGTCTTTGCACTCGTCATCTTCGCCCGGCGCAGTCGTCTCATGCCGCCTGCGGATGCGCTCTGGGAGAATTTCAAGGCCGACAGATTGCTGGACATGTGCGGAAACAATCCTAGCCCAATGACATACTGCAAGCCACCCCAAGACACCAGGTTTCTGGACAATGCCGCTGCAGGCTACGCTGTCTGCTGTCTTGGTGCGGTGGCATGGCTTGGCTTGTTCATCGACCAGCTCGCCTCCAGTATCCCGAACAAGTTCCCAGCTGCCGCGAAGCGTCTGGCTGTCCTCAAACCAAAGGCCACTATACGGGGGAGAGACAGACTTTGGACGTCCGTGTCTGCTACATATTGGATTGCTCTTGAGGTGCTCCTTTTGGTGACGGCAGGGTACCATCTCAGCCAGCTTGTCCTTGTCGTAATGGACGTTGACATCGGCGATGCTAGCCGCTGGGGCTTTGGCCAGCTCATCGCGATCTCGCTTTGGGCACCGACAATTGCCAAGTTCATCTACTCCAACATATGTGAGTGATTTCTTTTCGCGGAGATCACTTTATGTGTTCCGATTGTTGCTCATTACATTCATCTTGAGACTAACCTAAACAAACATAGTCGGGGTCAAAGAAGGGTTCGAGCCACGAATAGCCAAGAGCTTCAAAGTCATGAAGAAGGGCGAAGCAGAGGGTGCTCCTGCCATATGTGATTAAAAGTCGAAGTTATCGTAGCCTCAGCCATTCCAGGTTGTCTCACAGTGACACAGCGGCGTGCGTCGGCGATCGCCTCAGAAAGAAGCGGCCTGGTTGGGGCAGTACAGTAACAAACATCACAGCACAGCCCAGGCAGCACGACATCACTCGTGAAAGACTCTTGTGTGCAGGGCGGCGATGACTCACTCGTGTCTATCCCCTATTACCCCTGCTCTTGTATCCCAAACCCTAGAATACCACAGTTCGATACGTGGTCTTTGAGGCAATCGCAAAGATACAGTCATGTCTATGCTGAGGCGGCTTTACAAGGCAAAACGGGAGGGGTTCTGCCGTCTTCAGAACACTCGCGCCCCCTGGCACAGAAAGCGAGCCCATCCCCGAAGAGGGTTTTCGTTAATTCGACATCCTTACAGATCTCCTGCATCGCGTCGACATGGACACGTCAACGGCTACCAGCGACTGCGTTCGCCCAGGTGCAAAGCAATCGTAAACTCAGTGCGTCAGTAACAGAAGCTCTTGTCAAAGCCCGACTCCCCTTGTCAGGACTAAAGATCCTGAATATAATCGTTTCCCTTGAGAGCTATTACTCTTTGGAATCTATTTAAGCGGTATGGGATAGCCGGTGGCAATATCTCTTTGCGCACTTCTATGCAATTCATGTAGTTGAAATGTCGAGTCGATCTGAGTCCGCGACTTCATGAAAGACGTTCGGTCATCGGCCATAGTATAATACCGTCCATCCGGGTCTTTTTGAAATAGTGTAACGGCAGTAGATGCAATGACATAAATGATTAGGATAAGGGAGAATGCCGCGTTTAAAATAAAGAACACAACGCCAATGACTCCGAGAGCAACAGTCGGTAAACTAAACACGTTGCAAAAGATGAAAAGCAAAACGCTATTAAGGAAATCTACCACAGAGATAGCAATATGAAACGAGTTAATACCTTTACCCATCCAGGGCCGAATCACTGACGCAGCAATCAGGAAACCAACTTCGATAATCATGAGCGCAATAGCTTGTGCGATTGGCCTGTTCTGGCCAAGCGCTACAAGCATCGCCTTACCGACGATTCGTATCAGCGACGGTATGATAAAGTAAGAAGCAGAAGCACGGTACTGAATATATAAAGCGCCGAACTTATTCAAGACGCCGACGTCTGCGAACAGCCCATAGGCTGGGTTTGCGTTTGTGCTGTCTTTCCGAGTTTGATTCAATGTTCGGAGGGTTTTATATGTACCAAATGCAAGTATAACGCATAAGGTCATTAAGAAGCCAACGGCCAATACAACCTCAGCTGGTGAATCTCTCTCCGCGAGCTCCCATAGGCAGAGTGTACTGATCTGGAGCAACCCAACTAGGCAAACGCTCATGATAATGCCTTTGAGGCTGTCGAGCCAGTAAAGTCGAAATTCGCTCGCCCGTCCAGGATCAATGAGCTTGCGCCGGACACCGAGTTCGCAGAGCCCCTTTGATAGAGCAAGAATTAGAACGAGACACAGTGTAAACATGTAGAAGAACGTGACACCGGTCATGAACAGGTTCGTGATTTCAATCCCAGCCCTGAAAGCGACTCTTTGGATCCCAGTCACCACATAGCTTCCGGAATCGTTCACAAGACTGTTGCGTTTTGCGACTGTCGACAGGGCCGCAGTATCTCTCCGGTGCAGGTTGTCGATGTTTAGTTCTCTCCTCAGAACTTGGACGGAAACAGTTCCTAATGCGTCGAGAATCCCTGAGGCCCGGCCTCCGGTAGATCGTTGATACCATGTAATGGCTCGTTGCATCCACCCGATGCGGACAATGCCGAGTGACCACTGAAAGTTTTGCGTCCAAGACTGAGCAATTGGGGGTATATGAACGGCCAGGAGTCCAATAACGGACTGCGATTGGAAGTAGGCAAAGATAGCCAGCGTGCTCACTGCTCCATGGGCAGCTGCGTTAGTGTGTCCGAACCTTTTCGTGACGGCCGAGCAGAGCAATCCTACGCCGATGAATGTAGCCGTTGCCCATTTGACGCCATCAACGCTGACGGTTTTTCCATTCGATATGTCGGCTTCGATACATGCAACAGACTCCCCGGTGGCAGTCAAGTTGATGTACGCTCTGGCGGTGGCATCTAGATCAGGGATGTTGTATGCAATGGCAGGCACAGTTTCTGCAGCACCTCTCATCTCATTGCCGGAAATCCGAAACGGATGATTGAACTTCCCAGGCGTCATGGGGCAGAGCCCAGTTTGTGGAATGTTGCATGGATCGATGATTTGTCGGGTAACTGGGAACCCATACGCCCAGACGTGGAGGTCAAAAATAACCTTTCCTTGGATGGGCGAAGTAGCCATGATGTTGATGTCGAGTGTACAGTTCTCGGGCGTGAATGTCACCTTGAAAAGGCTAGCGGAGAAGCCAGAGTCTTTCGCACATGTGCTGAGCGAGCTGGTGGAGAGCAGCTTGTCTGCTATTGCTTGATGCGACAAAAGCAACAATACCGCATAAAACGCCGTGCATGGCCTTGAAATCAGCCACTTGACTGTTGCTGCCATCTTTGTGGTTGCTAAGGGTGCCCCTCTTGTTCGTGTGTTGCACTCGATCGATGTTTCTGCGACTCTCCAGTCTCTGGAGCAAAAGTGAGGAGCAAAAGGTAGTGACTGGCGGGGACAAGAGCACCTGGCTTCACTTGACGGTTCAAACAAGAAATGCTGTCCTAGTGAACAGACAGAGAAATGTTCCCAGTCAGTTGAGCTGATAAGACGTAGCTCGTGTCGAGTCAAGGGGCGGGCTGCCCCGACTGATACGAGTATTAGGGCAGCAGAACCACCATCTGAAGCCCACACAACGGACTTGTCACGCCAAAGTAATTTCACTGCGAGCCAACATTTTTGGGCTCCTACGAATGCACATTGGCCGCTAGAGGTGGCTTATACTGACTGCAGGGATACTCTCATCGCAGCACAGCCCCTTCCCACGCATACGATGTGGGTCGGGTTTGATTGCGAATCGCCTCGCTGTTTTCAACTGGCTAACTGGATGGTTTGATCCATTAGGTCCACAGGTATGGTTGTATTTGACGCTCATCAGACCACTCCATCCCGTTGCTCAGCCTTCGAACCTGAAACGTGAACGTTGGAACTTATGACAAACTCCGCACATGCATGCGGAAAGAGCAAAAGAGTCTCCCACCTGAAGATGCTCATATTTGTCGTGTTGGAAATGGTCGACTTTGAGTTTCTCATGCCACATCAAACTGGCCTTGGACTACCATGAGCAAGGTCGCTACTCTCATCCTGCCCTTGTTCATAACACGGTGTCTCGCCGCCAGCATATCGCTAAATCTCGACGACGATGGTATGACCCTCAATTATGCCCATATTCATGCACAGTCTTACGTGTAACATATGCCGTTGGCAGCCTCCGTCAAAGATGCCGCAAGCACTATCGCCTACGGGCTGATGAAGTACTATACCGGCAATAATTCGGGTGACGTCCCGGGCAACTTACCTGACCCGTACTACTGTGGGTTATCCTCTTTTCTATGGAGTCAGGTACAAGGCTTACCGGAAGCAGGGTGGGAAGCAGGTGGCATGTTCGGCACGATGGTAGATTATTGGGCATTCACTGAGGATGACACCTACATCAACCAAACGATCCAGGCCATAGTCCACCAAGGTGCAGAAACGAGAGACTTCATGCCCACCAACCAGACAAGGTCAGAAGGAAACGACGATCAAGGCTTTTGGGTGATGACAGCAATGAGTGCCGCAGAGAACAAGTTTCCCGATCCGCCAGACGATCAAGCCCAGTACCTTGGCCTTGTTCAGTCAGTGTTCAACCAATACGTGTCGCGTTGGGAGGACAACGACTGCGGTGGGGGAATGCGCTGGCAGATATTCCCTTTCAACAATGGTTTCGACTACAAGAACTCAATCTCGAATGGTTGCTTCTTCAACATTGCTGCCCGGCTTGCGCGGTATACGGGCAACACGACGTACGGCGACTGGGCCGCCAAAATCTTCGAATGGGAAGAGAGGGCTGGTCTCGTTCAAAGAAACTACAGTATTTTTGACGGCACCTGGATCGAGCCAGGGGGTAGTTGTCCCCGTACTAACCCTACCCTCTGGTCATACAATGCTGGCGTGTTTCTTCACGGCGCAGCCGCGATGTACAACCTTTCGGGCAGTGATTCTTGGAAGGCCCGCACCGATGGGATACTTGATATGGCGCTACAAACGTTTGTTACCTCCAAGAATGTTGTATGGGAGCAACAGTGTGAACTTTCCGGAATGTGCAACTTGAATGAGCAGAGCTATAAAGGTTACTTCTTGCGGTGGCTTGCAGCAACCGCAAAGCTTGCTCCTCACACGACGGATATAATACGCCCTGTTGTGCGAGCGTCGGCTGAGGCAGCCGTAAAAGCATGCTGTGGTACTGGTTCACCAGGCACGCCGCCGTTTAACGGCAAGGACGGGACCGCTTGCGGATTCAGTTGGACAGGCAATGACACTGCTTTTGACGGCATAGCGGGCGTGGGTGAGCAAATGAATGCCCTATCAGCAGTCATGTGCAATCTAGTTGGCAAAACAGCTGGGCCGGTCACAAATGACACCGGTGGGACATCACGAGGCAACGCCGGCGGCGGCGGTGGGAGCAGTGATCATGACCCGACCGCGGAAAGGCCTATCACAGCGGGAGATAAGGCTGGGGCGGGACTTTTAACAGCCACAATCTTACTCAGCCTTGTAATAGCTGCCGTGTTGATCACCAAATAAGAGCAATGATAATAGACGAAGACATACTGGGCTATCGTCTTACGCTTCAGGGAGGCAATCTCGTGGCTAGTGTGATGCCATTCTGGCGATGGAGAGTCCCAAAAACAGACTGCCTGAGCTGACGACATAGGATGAACTCAGTAGGTCAGTGGAGCATGTACATTAATCTAGATGGCCTCTCTTGCCTTCATCCATTGAAGAAGCTGTTGTCTTGAGTTTTCGCGCTCATCATAGTTGCAAATGTACTGTTGTATGGTCGTAATGGTGGTCAGCTTTTCCTCGGTTGGTGATACAGTGTCATCGCCGGCAATTCTTGTGAGCTCTTGCACCTTTTCAGCTCTCGCCTTGCGGCATTCCTGGTACAGTAAGAGACGCGGCACAATCTCTGAACAATTGACGCCTACGGGGAACAAAATCCCCAATGACACTGCGTCTTCCATTGCCTGTGCTCCTCCTTGTCCTTGGTACGGAAGAAATGGATGAGCTGCATCTCCGAGCAACGTCAGGCGTTGAGAACACCAAGCTGGGACGGGGTCCATATCCATTAGTCGCCAAATCTTTAATGTCGTCTCGTCGGCAAGCCTCATCAAAGCCAAAGCGCACTCGTCGAACCCATCGTACGCACTGAGCAGGTCTTCAAGCAGTCCACTTTTGTTCCAGACGTCTTCCTCCTCATCCCACTGGCGATCAGGGTGAATGCAAACCAAGTTCCAAATCTCGTTATTTCGGGTGGGATACAAGACCACGCGCCTATGTCACGGAGCTTATTAGACACGTCTCAACATGGTCATGTGGCAGCTGAGGGTAGGAGGATCTCATACCGGTCTGAATCGAACCAGAACACGAATTCACCCTCGTGGTTCAAGGTGGCTCTTACGATGGGGTCACGAAGGGCGTCCGATCTTCTTAGCAGAAAGCGATAGGCACTTTTACCAGAGGGGTATGGGGTTACTGCTGTTAGAGCTCGACGAGTTACCGACTAGAATATGTGTTAGATCAACAACTACTGGCGACAAGTATAGAAATACTGACGTGGACCCCATCTGCACCAATGACCACGTCCGCAGCTATCGATCGCCCATCGACGAGTGTTACCGTGGCGGCTTCCGGGTCCACAGTGACAACCCGTGAATTCGTTCTCAGGTCCACCGGTGTACCGACCCCATCTCGAGAAGTAGCCGCAGACTTGAGCTGGCTGTGTAGGTCGACGCGATGTGCCAATAGGTATGGCTTCCCTCAAGGTTAGTCCAAGCAGCACTGCAGGGACGCAACTTTAGATTTACATGTTGCCAGCCCCGGCTGAGGGTGCTCATGTCAGGCTGGGCGACAGACTCGCCGCTTTTGTCATACCCAGTGACCTGTTTTGCCGTTAGTTGTGCGTACTGGCCTCAAAGTTCAGCAGTGCGCTCAATACCAATTTCAACTCAACGGCCCCTGCTGCTGCGGGGTCAATACCGAGATGATGTAGAAGTCCATTTGCATTTGGCGGAACGCCAATTGCGGCACCGTGTTCGCGGGCAAGCTGAGACTGTTCTAAGACCTATATACAATCACGGTGCTTCAGCGGCAGCCGATACGCGCGACTGGCGGCTCGAAAAACACAAGAGCACTTCATGCTTACCGTGACCCGCTGCCCAGCTCGCCTCAACGCAATGGCAGCAGTAAGCCCACCAAGGCCCGCCCCAACGATGACAAAATGTAGCTGCCGCCCGGTAACCTGGCCTGGGGCCTCTGTATCGAGCTCAGCGGCGCACATGGTGCAGTGGGAACTTTTCTTGGATTATTTGAAATCAGCACCGAACTTCAGAATAGGCGCTATGGTATTGAGCAGTAGTTGCTATCGTCTGGCCATTTGCCACTGAAGAAATACGTTCCTTGCTCACTTGCACGGCCCCGGTCACGGCTTCTATGGTTGTTGGTGGAGCTCACAAAAAGTGGAATCAGGGTCGTGCAGGGCGTTCGGATGTGGGGGAGCGGAGGGAGGACTGATGCGGGGTGCACGCCCGTCTGTTTGCCTGGGGACTGAGCAGTGGAACTGCGGGGCACATGAGGTCGGCAAGTGTGGGGGCGGAACCGCTGCGCGATCTCGGCACGAACTCTGGAGCACCCCTTCCGCATGAGCGCGTGAGGCTCAATTGCTTATGCAACATTGTGCAACATCACAACGCCTGGTGACGTACATAGGTTACACGACATGTGCCCGGACTGCAACTCACAATGACCTCGTAGCCTCATCTTCAAACCAATCGTCCATCCACCCAGGTATCTTTAGATCGGTTTGCAATATTGAGCCGCTCTGAACCCGCCGTTGCCGCGCCGCCATGCTCAGAAGAAATCGACAGCATCAGTGGAGCTTATGATCGCTCGACACTCTCTCGGTCGTGGGAGAACATATAAAGCTCTCGGAAACAAAATGTGGAGCTATCACCCAACACCGCCGGGGCGTTATCCGACCGTGAGCAGCCGCTGCCATGCGAAGAGGGCAACGGTTGGAATGCAGAATGACAAGATTATAGGAATGAAGGATAAGGGAACCTGAAAATTCTGACGAAGATTGCACAAGGATCAATAAATGCAGCGTCGAGACGTTTTCACTGGTTGACTTCGGGCTTATAGTAGTCAAAAGGGTACATAACCATGCATCGAGAGCGTGAGCTTGAGCTGGTTGATTCACATGAACAATGTTCAAAGGGAATCAACGGAAAGCTCACCAGGTACGGCCATGCATGCGCTAAATGTGGCGTGTCATTGACGCGATCTGCCCGTGGACAACCACGAACACTGGCCCGTGATCCACTTCGAGCCGGTGCCGATCCCCCGCTCCGTGCCGACTCCTTGTTCTGCAGTACTGGTAATACGTAGGGCCGACGCAACCCAATAAGCCGCACACGGGACAATGTGCACCCGATGAAGCCCCTCAGCATACCAGTCGGCAAACCCCAGCGGATTCATAAGTTATTTACCGCTTTGCACGCCAGCACTTAGTTCTTCTTCGGGTAACATGGGCTGTGTGATCCCTGCACTGCCAAGCGATCTTGGGCGGCTTTATTTTCCACATATAGGAAACACGTCACTCACTTTCCACTACGTGAAACCCGTCCCATGTCAAATGTTGTAGCTGGATGGGTGTCGTGGGTCATACACAAAAGAATTGATTGGGCTGCGTACTCGTACATGAAAGGCAGTCAAGGAAATACATTTCACTACATAGCACATAACCATCAAGACGCATCGTATTCGAGATACTCCTCTGTCGCTCCCTCTGACTCCCTTACAGAGCATGTCAAATGCCACAGAGGACTTCAGACTCGGCCCCGACTCGGTCACAGCTTTCACTCTTTTCTGCCGCTATGACACTTACACGCATGGAACAGCAAACAGGGTTGGACTTCCCCACTGTGCCTTGTATGAGAAGGTCCACAGGACGCATGGTTAGAACATGAAAAATAACACCTACTTCTATTCAGCTCGCCCATGTGTGCATCGACTCAGTCATGCATCCGTCTTTGGCTTTACCAGTTGACCGATCCCTTAAACTCTGCCTCTATGCATTCACCCGGTGACAGGGGCAAGGTATTCCGGGGACTTATATGTCCGTGTAGCAGTCACTAAGGCCGAATCCATTGCGGACTTATGAAACTGCGTTTCACATTGCATATATAAGGTCTTTTATAGTTCAGAGGAGTTTACGTGCCAAATGAGGACATTCCATCCGAGATCGCCATCATACATTAACGGCGACAAGTATTCGACTCACTTAGTTGCATCAACCGACCCATCGGAGTGCAAAATGAGGTTCCTACACCTGGAAATGCTGCTTGTTGCCACGGCGACTTACGCAGCTCCACAACCCGACTCGTGGCTCTTGAAGCAGGCACTCTCGGCCTTCCACTTGACCCCCCAAATCCTGGACACCTTTCTCCAGCCGCTACAGGTATTGCTGGAGCGAAATTCTCACGTCTACCGCGAGGGCACCCAGCTCAAATTGAATGGTGCTCCATGGACAGCTGCTGGCGCCAACGTGTACTGGCTCGGACTCGACGAAAATGTTATTCCTCCCCCCGGATCGCCGTTTTACCCAAAGTTCAATGCGAGCTACCCGTCCAAGGGTCGGGTTGTTGAGGTTATGAACACGCTTCAAACGATGGGTGCCAGGACGATTCGCAGCCAAACTCTCGGAATAAGTGTTGGAAATCCTCTGAGCCTGATGCCGAGCCTCAACGAATGGAACGAAAAGGCTTTCGAGGCTATCGATTGGGCAATATTTCAGGCCCGTCAGCATGGGTTGAGGGTCCAGGTACCACTGGTTGATAACTACGTAAGGCTTGGATTCAACTAGCAGACACAGCAGCGGGGAGACAGCCAGTTGATCAGCAACCAGGACTACTATCACGGTGGCAAATTTGACTTTTGCCGCTTCCGTGGTATCAACATCAGCGGCGCGGATGGCTACGGTTCTGTGTACGTCAGAACTCCGGATCGTGACCATGACGTCTGGCTGCGTTCCCGCTAATCACGGTACTAGCGACCCCCGAGTACAACAATTCTACACAAACCCTGTCATTATCAACGATTTCAAGCGCTACATCAAGAAGTTAATCACCCACGTAAACCCTTACACAGGTCTGAGCTACGCCAACGATGCAACCATCTTTGCATATGAGACGGGCAACGAACTCAGCGGTCCAATCTTCCGAGACATGAATGTGCCGAACGAGTGGACGGTTGAGATATCTGTAAGAATTTGCTCGGCCTTTTCCATGAAGCTTTTTCTAACTTGGCGCAGCAATTTGTGAAAAGCCTCGCACCGAAGAAGCTGATCATGGATGGAACATATGGTATCAACAAAAGCCACCTCGCAATTCGTGAGGTCGACATCTTCTCCAATCATTTTTATCCCACCAATTCTAGTGTTTTGCAAAACGATATCGACATTGTCGGTTCAGCGGGGAAGACGTACATGGCAGGAGAGTACGACTGGACCGGGAACATCCCAACCGCCAGTTCGCTTGAGGACTTTTTCGGAATCATTGAGAGCCGACAGACGACACCCAGACCAGTGGCAATCGGAACGCAATTCTGGTCGCTGTTTATGCACAACGCCCCCGACTGCAATCATTTCGTGAATCACACAGATGGATTCTCTTTACAATATGGGAACCCCTTGAATACGGCGCACAACAACAGTCAGATCGCGAAGATCCGACGGCATCTTTTCCGCATGAAAGGGGTCGAGGTCGACGACTACCTGCCTGCAAGTCCTTGCCCCGGCGTTCAGGCAGAATATACCTACCAATAGCCAGCGGACTAGCCGTGTAGTGTGACGTGCAGGTGGACTCGATACCGTCGAGTGTCCCAAATATTGATCCTTATACATGACCTATGGAACACAGTTCGCATCCCTGCTCGTTTTCGTGAAGCATACAATATACAATACACGCGCTCTGGCGCCGATATATTTTTGTTGATACCAGTGATTCAAAAGCCTTCAGCTCCTGGGTTCTGGAGACCGATGAGCGGCCTGCTAGCCGCGATTTGGCCACAATTCGTGGCGATCACATGCCGCCTGCACTCTGCGGCCGTGGAATTGATTTGCAAGTCATTAAAACCAGAGAGATAGCTGCAGATACTGGGTGCGTTTGGGGTCATAGCCCTGCCCCATAAATGCATCTCTTCCACCGTTCATTCGCTTTAACAGTCTGTAGACGCTTGTGCCGGCAAGCCTTTGTTTGAGTAGAGCTTGGAGATTCCGAGCCTCCTCACTCTGCTGCCCAGGGAGCTCCATGACTGCGAAGTATCGCATGGCGATACTAAGTGCCATGAGTCCAGAAATATTCTGTGAGAGGCCCGCTGATGGCTCAAAAAGTAGTGGAATTGCTCTTCCGCACTTCCTTGCCAAGACGTCTACCTGAATCATTTCAACGTCGCCAGGAGACGACAAGTTCAAGGCCAGGCCCTTGACAGAGAATAGCATCATGCCAATAAACCAGTACACGATCGATAGATGAAGCAACGAAAACTCGGCACCCCCGTGGGGGGTCGGCAGGGGCAGGCCAGTGACAGTATAGTCAAATTTCAGGATCTGCGTGCCGAATTGTAAGCTCCACCGATTCAGTGCAGATTCTACCTCTTCACAGGAATTGCGCAATCGAGTCCGTCCAACATCACCCGCGATGGAACCTGGAAAGGCCAGCAAGATTGTTAGTTGCTCCAGCAGAGTCGGAATGTCTAGGAGAATATCCATGAGGCAGTCTTTCATTGACTTATTTTGTGTCGTCCAGGGAATCGTCTTCCATCTGTGGTCATTAAGAGGTGACGACTTTCGTGTTCCGATTGCCAACATTGCCTAAACAGGGTAAATGAGTCAGTGCTACACACGGCGGGAGCAACGCTCACACAGAACGCACCATGTTGATACGACTGTCGGCAAAGAGTTGGTGAGCGACGCCCCCAGCGAATGCCTCTGGACCTCGCGCAAGAAACATTGCAAGTTGCCCTTCGCTGTGGCCGGACCATGCCAAGACCGTAGGCTCGTCGTTGGCAACGAAAACAAGCTAGTGTGGGTGTCAGCTTCTACCTAACTTAGAAGCCACATGCGCGATAACTTACGTCAAATGAAGCCATGAGAGCAGAGGCAACAACTAAGCCATCGCTCTTATACGCTGTTTGCCTCTGCAATGCTTTCCCAATCTCTCGCGCAGCTTGAGTATATGTCTCCAGTGCCTTGGCTAGCATCTCCTGCCTGCCAGTCCCCAACGATGCGAGGCAACCCATGGCAGTCGCAATGACAACATGCCGGAGGCCCGGTTCTTTGTCGTACAGTTGAGTTATAAGAGTGGCCCAGTTTTGAGCACCTGGCCGTGCAGTGCCAACTGCTACCTGTTGCTCCCGCGGTAGCATTACGTCCCAGAGGTGCCCCAGATAAAGCTGCTCTCTGGCCGATCTGACCAACGGGTCAGGTAGACCGGGCTTGGAATCATTATATGTCTTCGCGTATCGTGTGAGCCAGGGTCGCCCAGCAGGGCGCGACAAGTTCTCGCCTTCCCTTGAACCTGGAGCAATCCACTGCACTGTAGAGTGTACAAATGTGAGATCTCTGCCGTAACCGCCACATGGAAGACCAGACTTCTTGCATTGCTTGCAATCGGGGGTCGCTCTGTCGCACTTGCGGATGCTTTGGTTAGTCTACAGCACAGTGTCATTTAGGCTGGTGTATACATACCCCTTTCTTCCTGCGTCGACATGTAACACAGCCTCTGGATCTGCCTGGGACGCCAACCATGAGTACGAGACAGAGGGCTGCAGCCAAGATTTGCAAAGGTTACCATTCAACATGAAGACGGTTGCATGGAACACCACATGGCGCAAGACGACAAGAACATTTGTCACAGGGCTCGTGCTTTTATTGGCTCGGGGTGATGTTTCCCCGTGCTTATAACTGCAACGTCAGCTCGTTCAATGTGTCTGAGACAGCTCAGCTGCTCCCGGAACCAAGTCAGCCCATATTACGTCTCTTCCCTTTTCAGTTGCTTCTTGTGCTTGATGGGCCGATTGCGCTTGGCTTTCAGTGCCAGGCTTGGCGGCCTTTGAACAGAAGCCGCGCCTTCGTCTATACCCATGTTTTGCTCCGACAACCCCGCCTCGTCGAGACAGGGTCGCCACCACGTTGTCACTTCGAACAGCGCGGGGATTGCTCGCTGGTGATTGAAGCAGTGGCGGTTACGCCTGCTAGGCAGCAGTAGAGCTGGAGGGCTGTGACTGCGCCAGCAACTGAAACCACAATGTCCCGCCATATTGCAGCAATTGCAGCGCGCGGGGCCAAGAGGGCAGGCCTGTAGTAGTCCCGACGCTTACGAGGCGAGTAGCGGGTCGCGGCCGCGGCATATGCCTGTTTCGCGACATTGACCCTGACGTCGAGGATAGGCACGCCCATCTCTATTGCAAAGAACAGTCGTGTCAACAAACACCCGGCTATCAATTAAGCCATCTATAGGTCTATAGACATCATAATCTCTCCATCTTCATCTGGTGGCGCGATTTCCACGAAGCCAAGTTTCTCATAGAACTTATAAGGCGAGTCCTCCGGTTTCACATTCTTCAGCACGTTCTCGCTCTGCTTCCCCTCTGGTGGTGTGGACATGACCCCTAGCGTCTTTGCCTGAGGATTGTGTTGTTGTATCTGCGCGATTGCATATTCTATTCCTTGCCGACCGAACCCCAACCCCTGATATCGGCCGTCGATCATGAATCGCCAAATGTAGTATGCCTCATCAGGGTCCCAAATTGCCATCATGAGCATGCCGACAAGCGTCCCATCAGCATAGATGGCTCGCACCCAGGCGTCCTCCGAGTAATGAGCTTCGCAAAGAGACCAAACATTAGGGGCGAGGTTTCCTGTCTGACCCTCTTTGAGACTCAAATTTGCTACCGCGCGCCAGTTTTCTTCGGTGACTTCGCGAAATGTAAGGGTTGAGTTTCTGGTTGGAGTAGCCATTCTGGAAGCGCTATTCATAGCGTGCAGGAGGCAATCGGAGCAGATATGGCAGATGCGAAGTCCGACAAAAAGCCAGCTCGGTGCAGTATTGGCGTTCCTTGCGGATTGTTTTGCACGGCGTAGGTTCTCGGTTCCAGAGTCGGCCTTATCATCAGGGCGCAAGGGCCATGAATGAGCTGTACGGAACCGAGAGCAACTCAAAAGATTGACGGGATATTTGTTCGCTTGATAGATGGCGGCAATTGACTCATCGTCATCGGTCTCGGCCTGCAGCCTTTCGAGGTTAGTATGCAGGCTGTGCCTAAGCAGTAGATGGTTTGTGAGTCATGCAGCAGGCTCGGACGCTGGCCGAAAGCTCTAACGGTATGTCATGCGAGAGGTGATACAGGGCCACCAAGCCTGGAATGGACGCGCAGGTGCCCTTCAACAACAAGATTGGCGGATTCTTTAAGATGTCCCCAGGTAGTGAGATGGATATTCCATTGGGTCCAGTCGGCCTAGCTATTTGAGACATGGTGGATCAAGAAGCTGAGAAGTGCAATAGGACTACTACTAGCAGCTAGTAGTACTCGCATTTTAAGTAAATTAAAGGCTTCATAGTAGGTTCTCGTAGTCTTGTGTGCTGGTTTCACTCAGTCGTCTTTTTAGCGCTGTCGCGAGTATAATAGCTACCTGCATGGACCTTCAAGTCTTTAGCCAGCATACACTCAATCCTCCATCACCATGTTTCATTTGTTGAACGGTCCGTCTAATATCATCCTTTGGCATCTCCTCAAGCAAGGCGCATCCAACGGGCTTGGCCCCAGATGCATAGCTCAGTGTACAGGCGGGCTGACCGAAGTTGAAGCGTCGTTCGGCGCTTGGGCGATGCTGGAAGATTGGAGGCAAGAAGGGGGTTTTGACCAAGTGGAGCACTCGAGAAGGGATATCATATCCTGGAGCGGCTGAAGGTCGAAAGGGCTCTCCCCCAACCGGCCCGACGAGACACATTTCTTTACCTGCTTTCTGCTGCGAAGGTCTGTGACTATGAGACGTATAGTGCAGTGATCCTTCCGTTCTGTTCTTGTGCCTGCTATAGGTGATTGACTCTGGCTTTACATCTCGCGCGAGAAGATCAGCGTACATATAGTCGAAGCAGCAGGCAGGCCTTGGGCGCGAATAAAAGGGCGGGAAGCAAGAACGTATCTATGCTTGAGATTACTCGACGAGACGCTGGGGTATCCAGAATGCCTCACAGGAAATGGCAGGAGGCCGTACCGCGAGATGTTCCGAGATCCGTCATCGAGATATTGGACGGCATTACAGTACAGTACTTGGGCGACAGAATAATTCTCCTCAGTTCCCCCACATCCGATCCGAGCCGTTTTTCGCGTACCCGGAAGCGGATGATGTTCGGGATCAGCTGGAACGGCAGAGCAGGCATCTCGGCAATGCCTTATTTTCCGACCTTCCCCCTTGGTCCTGTCGCATGCATGGTTGGCTGGTCTATTCTCACATCCAACAAAACAATCGACTTCAAAGCAGGAAGCGTGCAACACCATGACGTGTCCCATAGAGTACTGTACATGCTGTACTGTTGGAAAGGCAAATCGGGGACGTATAATTAATCGGTAGTCTTTGACCCCGAGCGCGAAGCCCGAGCGCGAAATCTCGAGCGCGACGTCCCGATTCCCGAGGCCGGGACTGGCTATGCCAAATCTACAAACGCTATAAGACGCTGCCATACTGCAGTTTCGCCTCGCCTATCTTGCTGGCCTATATAGACTGCAAAGAATACAGTGTTAGAGACGAAAAAAGCACCCGGCCTCCTCTAATCTACAATGGCTACAAACGCACCACCGGTTGCCTCGGACGTCGGGTACCTCTTGGATCGCTTGACTATTAGCGACTTACTCATTTCCTTTGCTCATGCAATTGATACGAAGAATTGGACCGCTTACGAGGATCTTCTGGCGGAGGATGGCATTGTCGAAATCCCAGTCAAGCTTCCAGACGGCAGTTACCTCAGGCATGTTGGACGTGAAGGGACTGCAGACTGGGTCGCGGGCAATAGCGAAAAGCCGGGGCTCAGCCAATTTGCAGCAACTCATCACATGAGTACAAATCATCAAGTTAATATCGAAGGCGACAGTGCTTCTACACACTCCTACACGCATTGCATTCATCGTCTCAGCGACAACCCCGGTGAGGTTTGGGAAGTCGGCGGCTGGTATACATGTGACTTACGCCGTGTGGGCGATCGCGACTGGAAGTTTGCAAAGGTTCATTTTGATATTGTTTGGGAACACGGCAAGCCAGTTTGGGCAAAGCATTAGACTAAGACAGAGGTCTGGTACCCGCCGACCGTCCTGTAGCAAAAAAGGACAAAGGGGTCTCCTTTTGTCTTTCTAAAAATGAAGAGGAACATCTCATAACAATGTACCCATCTTAAAGGCCATGCAATTTTAGTGCCTACTAGTCCTATGTCTTCAATGCAAACCTTAATCGGCGATGCCGGCATCAGACGTTATATAAGCATCTTTCTTGGCTCCTGCGCCGCATGCCAGCAGGGTTGGCTAGTAAACAAATCTTGGACGATGATAAGAGTCCCCATGGTGGCGTGTAAAGCCATGGGTTCGGCAAGCTGCCAGAATCGTAAAGCGACCTCTAGGGATCGACCCTATCGTAGGTCTCTATTTGCGTCGGCATGTTTAAGACCATTTGCGCATCCTTCAGGACGTCCATCCGTAAGATTGTAGACACACCCAGTTCATTGAGGAGTCTACTCAATGGGCCTTCGGTCCGAGAGAGTTTGACATTCCCAGGGAAAAGGCATTGTGCCGCGAGGAGCGGGTTGGTTTGCACTTTAACTTGGAACCATTTCCCGTCGATCTTGTTTATCGCATTGTTGGTTATGATCGAAGATTGCGACGGGATAGTTCTCATCGTGGGGAGGGGTACGTCTAGCCATAGATCCGGTGTCCCATCCGTTGCCGTAATTTCGGCCGTGATGTTTTGATCGCCCATCTGGAAGCCAATGTTGGCGAGCCATTTAGGGAACTGGTATCCGTACACCCCGCGCACTCGCGCAATTTCTGTATCGACGGGTAGAGCCAACACATGCCCGTAGAACGTGCGATTCCACATAGAACTGAGAAGTTGGGTCGCGCTGTGACTGTCTTTACCAGGCTGGCGGACGACGATGGAAATCGAGACCTCGTTGTAGGGATCGTTATCGCATATGAGGTACGAGTAAAACGTTAACGCGACTAAACCGTAGCCGGGCAAGGCCATGATGGGCTCTAAAGGTGATGGGAGCTTGGACCTTAAGCGGTGGAGCGGTGCGACAAAGAGAATTTGAACACTCCTCGTGCGATAATAGAAGTTGGGTGCGTATATTTGGCCGACCCTCGAATCGACCAGTTTCTTCGGAACGTCCAAGAAGAAGCTGATGTCGGGCCCAGCACCCAGATCATGGGCCACTTCGTTCAGGTCTGGGTTCATACGGTAACGGTCGTAGTAGCCACCCTTGAGTACATCTACCTTTTGTCCTCCGAACTCGACCTGGATGGTCGAACCTGGCCGGCGCCTGCATCACAAGACGTCGTTAGTGCCCTTCAAGGTAGAGAGCTAGGAGCAAAAACACGAGTAACACACCGTGTGGGGGCTTCTGGAGTTGCCGCTAACGAGATGTTTGCAGTCGAAGACATGATGCTCCCTGTCGGTAGGGGTATGATCAGGATCCGATGGGCCGTTTCCAAAACGATTCTTCTTTTTCGTAGATACAGATTATTCTCAGGAGGGCGACAGACTATTGACTGACTGCTCGGGTAATTCCTCGGGGCATTAAAGCAGGATCCCGAATGCAATGGTCAAAGAGATGTCCGATCCAACCTCATAGGGCGAGAAACGCAAGGAATCGAGAAATCGGGAGCTTGGGTCAAAACAAGAGGAATGTTGTTCACATACCGGCATCGATACTGATATACTACTGGCGATGGCGGAATTGGAGCCGACTACCATAGGGCCGAGGGCGTTGAACGACCATTTCTCCACTTGGGATGTCTTTATCGCGATCGGGATTGGGAAGCTACAAGACTATCCCGAAGTGGGGAGCTCAACTGCACCTCCGACGGAGTTTTCTAACCCGCTAATGCCGAGTACTTTTATACCGGCAATAGAGCTGAACCTCGGCAGTTTGTCAATCTGAGAAACGAGGCTATCGCACCGCCAGGTCATGAGAACTCGAGGCGAATTGACAGGTAGCATTGCCATGACACCATCGTGCGGTCTGTATTATTGCTAACATCCTATTCTCGCATACTTGTGAAATCATACTGTCACCATTTGGTCGACTGCTTCAACGTTTATCAACACACAAGACTGGTAGAACGGAACCAATCGTCTGGTCGTAGAACCTTGGCCGCGGCATGCAATAATTGCATATTAAGAGGCTCGGCCTAGCCCATGCGTAAAACAAAACAATACAGGGTGGCACTGGTCATCGCCCATGTGCGCAATCTAGCACATTCTACGGAAACATAAGCGGACACTTCACTAATGATGATCATGCTGTCCTCTTTCTGCCAACTGCTGGGTGCGTCAGAAACACCGTTTGTACGGAGATGTCTTGTCGCGTGGTCAAGGGTTGTACATGCGAGAACAGCTCTGTCGCTTCACCGTGGGAGAAACACTGAGGCAGGTTGAAGCGTAGAATGCAACAGGCAGAAGAATGGCATGAACGTGCAGCTGGAAGTATTCGAAGTTTTCAAACGGCTGGGCAGTTCATTGTTCCACGTTCCACGACAGTCCAGCAACAGGGATGGGTCCTGTGGGGCACAGGGCTGATTCGCACTGACTCTGTCTCACCTGTGTTGACAGGGGCACCCCTGTCCCGTGAGACTTTAGCTTCTTCTGAGCAACTTGATTCCTCATCCTCATCGTTCGAATGTCCCCACTCAGAGCGCCTGTATCAGACCAGATGGAAATCGCGTGAATCATGTTTTTACTTGCAGGCAACCCCTGGCTTCGAATTCATGCAAGCATTCATATGAGCATGGATCGAGATACCGCCGGGCTCGAGTTGACCGCGAGAATATCACTCGCCTTTGCGAAATCTTCACAGCCAATTTACACCAGTAGTCGGTGAGAAATCATGGTGCCAGTCGCAACACTCTGCAAGATAAATATTCCCACAGTCGTATCCCAGTTGACCGATGGTGTGCTGAACACTGTCCTCTGCCTTGAGTCTCGGCACTGCTTCTTCTAGTTTCCTTGTGCACAGGTCATACCAAAACAAACTCGTGCTGGCACGACCACGCGGCAGAGGATTTTCATGGTGCCTCCTACACACGGATATGCTTAGACAAGATTCCATATCGTGGTAAAGGAACTCGACAATCCTAGCCGATCCCGCTGGGAAGGGCGCATCCAGTCCGAAACTGGCCGTAAGCCGCGACGCCACGCTCACAGCTGAGTGATGGGACCTGCACCTTGCCAGCCACTTAACAGGGCATGTACGGGACGAAAACAGCCAGGCGGTAACGGAGATTAGCTGGGACTCACTTGCGTATCTTCGGCGAGCTAAGTGTCAGGACCCCTTGATCCTGCGTCAAGCGGAATGACCACGTCTGCCCAGTCAGAAAGCCTGTTACGCGAAGGCGGTGTTGATCAGTGGGAGCCCTTGAACTTATTTTAGTTCAGGACTGAGACCCAGTATAAGATAGAGCTCCGGCTACGGGAAGTCTAAATCTGACTCCGTCTCACCCACCCAAGACGACACTCTTTGGCCTTCGAACACTTCCTTTATTGAGCTGGGTCGGGCTCTTCGCCAACAAACGCTAAGGCAACTTCCACACTGCCAAAAACGAACAATCTGCTCGATTTCACGGCACTTGATGCTTTCACTCGCTGATACAGTGCTTTGCAAATGGCTACGGTAAAGGCAGGCCCCCGTGTAGCCGAAACTGAGGCGCCAAAGCGCACCTCCACACCGGAGGAGCCAAAGTATGAGGCACTCTACTACGACCAACCGCCTCTGCCTCTTCCGCCGGCCGCAGTAGTGCATCATCGTAGACGCCTCTTCTGGTGGGCAGTCCGATATGCCGCTGTGGTTGTGGTCGTTTTTGTGGGGTTGCTCATTCCCCTGATTGTGTTCGCTAGCGACGCCTTCCCCGACGAAAATGCGACGCCCGAGGCGATCCAGGCGAGTCAGTACGGAAATCTTGTCTTCTTCATATGTCTTTGGTTAGAAGTTACCTGGATAGCGGCCGTTTTCTTTGACCTATTCGGACTTGGCCTGCCGTACCTCTTTCGTTTCATCGCCAGGTTTGTCGTTACAACCGTGTTCAGAATGTGCATAGCTCACTACTCTAGATATGTCAACTCTTCTCATCAACGCTACTGGCGTATTTTCAAATTCATGCGCCGGCCTATCTGTTTCCTATTTACAACTATAATCACGTTTTCTTGCTTTACAGTGGTATGTCTCATGGCTTACACGCGATCGTCTAACCGATTCTAACCGCAACAAGTTCATTAACTACAACTCTGACCTCGCAGTAAACATCAACAAAGGCCCGGACGATATTGGCTGGGACGACGTGATCGAAGATATACTAGAACAATTGCAGCTATGGGTAGTATTTTACTTTGTCGAGAAAATACTCATCTGCTATCTAGCGGTACACTACCATTATCGGCGGTCGAACGTTGGCCTGACTCGAACCAAGGATGTGCACAATGCACTCATCACGCTTTACGAGGCCTCGTTATACCTTCACCCAGTCAACGGAAGCGCCTTCGCCGAGGAAGACATGATCATTCGAAACGCAAAGGGCGATGTGCAGGCCTCGGCCCGCATGCGCGTGTCAAGCTACTTAGCTAGGCTGGGTATTGACGGTTATAGCATCATGTCACTCTTCGGCAACTTCATCTCAGACGCTCCGGAAGCCCATTGGCTACGACCAGGATCATCGTTCTCTGTCATTGACCGCGCCTGGGCGAACCCGACCTCTGCTAGGGCACTGGCGAGGCGAGTCTGGTTGTCGCTCGTCGCAAGTGGTAATACCGCGCTGACGGAGTCCGATATTGCCGAGGTCCTCGGCCCAGACAGAGAGAAGGAAGCGGCAGAGATTTTTAATACCCTCGACGAGAATGACAGCGGCGACATCCAGATGGAGGAGTTCGTCGGTATTGTGACAGAGGCCGGAAAGACGCGTCACAACGTCTATCGAACGATTGCTGATATGGACCATTGCATTAATACCTTTGACTGGCTTTGCTTGATAATCATTGCCGTCGTCATGATTTTCTTCATCGGTAAGCCCCTGGCACGTCCGGCACCCTGTGATCACAGCTAAGTCAAGGCAGCTGTGCGATACGTCCCCGCCCTCAAGCAAATTCAGAGCATCCTTTCGTCCCTCGCTATTGGCCTGTCGTTTGCCGTAGGCCGCACATTCAACCATCTCCTAACGGGTATTATTTTCGTCTTCTTCGACCACCCATTTGATGCAGGGGACGTCGTGAGCATCTCGGCTCCGGGTGGCGCAACCGGCTCGACATACGCCGTCAAGAGACAGTCGCTGCTCTACACTGTCTTCCGCCGACTCGACAATAACTCAGAGCTACAAATCGCAAATGATCAGCTTTACCAAAAGGGTATTGACAACTACACACGATCCGGCATCAATCGCCAGTCGCTGAGCATGTTTGTCGACTTCCGCACGAGCTTCAAAGATCTTGCCAAGCTCCGGACGATCCTCGACAAATTTCTGTTCGATAATCCTCGTGACTACGTTCCGGGAAGTCTGGCACTCAACGTCACGTCACTCCACGAGTTGAATAAAATGGAACTAAGGCTGGGATTCACTCACCGCAACAACTGGTCGGACGACAAGCTGCGGTCGCAGCGAAGCAATAAGTTCCATTGTGCCCTAATATCCGCGTGCCGCGCGGTTCCTCTGTATAGACCAGGGAAAATGCTGCCGTCTGCTGGAGACAACGGCAACCCAGTTTATACGGTGCAGCTAAACACCACGACAGAGTTGGCTGAGAACATCCAGAAAGAAAAGGATCGTCGACAGGGACTTCGATGGGACTTTGAGAAGCCAGAGGCGAAAGAGAAGAACGAGGAGGAAGCGGCAGCAGAGAGCCATTCGGAGACCAAACCGACTGCTAGCCCGCAGGAGTTGGAAGAGGAGGCGTTTAGGGCTATGACTCGCACGACGCCGCCAAAGAAGTCAGAGGATATAAGTGCCGATGTGGAGACCTCAAGAGCCGTAACCGGCTTTCGGGTACCATTGAGCCAAGGAATTTTCCCGTAGGATGGCCGCGACTGAACCTGATATGTTCATTTGTTTCGTGTACATAGGTTTTCCTCGTCGGGCAATTGTTGTGCCTGGGAAATGTTGGCGGCGCGGCCAGGCCAACGGCCGTTCAACCATATCCGACTCTCAACATGAATACTTGCCCCTCGTGTTCCGTTGAATGGCATCTGTTGTATGTAGTGGCAGCGCATGGCGAGCCTGGTCGACAGTTCCCGGCGCCACGTTATCCGTTGCCGATTGAGTTGAGGAGACCTCTGACAGGCGACGGGGCCAGGTGTTACAAATGATAGAATCGTGTGCACTGCCAGGGACCTCGAGCACTGCAAATGAGACTACGGCTCCCTGGTTGGTGCAGATGCCCCTGATCAACTTGGCAAGCTTGGTACCAGGAAATGTCATCATTCTGTTCGCCTCCTCTCGTAGTGGGCCCCAGGTCGGTCACAGGTCGGTCCCAGAGCCCAGAGATTCCACATCCTGCTGATGGGCTCCAACAATAACCGCCAGGCGAAGGCGCTAACTATCCACTACTGCTGCCTACTGTCACACTTCTGCGGGGAGCAGGCAAGACCGAAGCCATTGCGGTGTCTACATGATTTGTTACTTTGTGCCGAAACGGAACACCTGTGTCAGAAGAGAGAGCGAACGTGAACAAGCGCGAGCATCGCCGCCTAGGACAAGACGCATACAATTACGACGTCTGGAATGAAGTTACGTAGATTCCTTCAAAGTTTGTGAGGTAGCGTTCCTCGTGACCAAGCTCGAGCGTCTGCACTCATCTGAATGCCGTCGAGACTGGGCTTAAAATCGCCTCGTGATCCAGCTTCGTACACATAATCAGTGCTTACACAGACGGAGCCGGAAAGTACGGCAAGCGCGGCGGATCCCTGGGCCATAAGACCGACGTGCGCGCGTCGATATATTCAGGTACCGCTGCCTTGCATGGTAGCCTGGCCTTCCTACACCATCTAGTTGCTGTGCAATTTGCCATATATAGCAAGATTCAGGCTCCATGTATTGAGACCGAGTGTCGTCCGCACCGCGACTTTTTTGACTACTGTAGCCACTTACGGCCTGGACTTCATGGGTTCCTCTACCTAGGCAGGTATGATATCACGGTCTTTTACTTCTAGCCGGGTCGCCATGGCCAGTCCAATGATGAACCGCTTCGATCATGGCTTACTGCTACTCTGTGTGGCTCTCTTCGCCAGCATCGGCGTCGCCAAGGAGGTCAACGCAGGCTTCGACCCTTACGCGGCAGCGCAAGTCATGGTCGATTCAGCTTCGCACTCCTGGGAATGGGGTACAGCAGCAGAGGCCTTGCTAGAGCTCTACAATCCCGAATTGTCCGTGTTTGGGTCCAAGCCATTCCCACAGGACGGAGTCCCCGCGGCAGACCCTTCAACATTTGCTCTCGCCTATGCGAAGCAGTTCATCAACCGCAACTCCCAGGTTCTTGTCGGCAACTCTGCCGTCGGCGACCCGGCATCCCTCGGGGTTTCCGCGATACTCTTGGGACAATCAGATAGCACGTATCTCGACGCATCAGATCGGCAAGCCAGCTACCTGCTCGAGGATGCTCCAAGATGGAGCAACGGCGCAATCTCCCACCGGCCCGACGTTGCAGAATTATGGGCTGATAACGTCGCCATGTCCTTCCCGTTCTGTTTGTGTCCTCTTCCAACCATGCCCTCCAAGGAGGCTAACGAATCACCCGCATAGTGGCGTACCTGGCCGTGCAAACGAACAATGTCTCCCTAATGGCTGAGACGGTTCGGCAGTGTGGCTTGTATCGCGACGTGCTTAAGACCAGCCAAAAGCTAAACTGGCGACACATTATAGGGCCACAGTCCCAGGATGAGGGTCTCTGGGCTACAGGCAATGGCTGGGCCGGCTACGGTATGGTACGAGTGCTGCATACGCTGCAGAGTTGGTCCATATCGTCGTCATCCTTGGCATCAGAAGTGAGCCAGTTGAAAGCTTGGATAAAAGAGATACTTGATGGGGCATTACTATCGGGATTCGAGAACGGTCTGCTACACAACTATCTCGACGCTGATAGCTGGTTTGGCGAAATATCCGGCACCGCTCTATTAACAGCAATAGCATATCGAATGGCGACGAACGACCCCAGTATGTTTCCGCAAAAGTACATCACCTGGGCAGATACAAACCGGAGGAATCTGGCCGGTAAGGACACAAATGGCATCTTCTCGCCTGCCGTTAACCCCTATTCCTGGTTGGATCACACCCAGTACACCAGCGGATCTCCAGAAGGCCAAGCCTTCATGGTGTATCTTTATACATCGTACAGAGACTGCGTTAATGCGAACATCTGCGCAAAACCAGCTTCGTCGGGAACCACGATCTCCAAGCCTGGCATCGGCCCGGTCGAGACAATCACCATGCTCAACGCGCCCATAACCTTTTCGGCTATGCCTCAGCCCACAGGTCCGGCTTGCGCAGCTCCTCAAAGCTGCGACAACTGTGCGGGTTCGTTCAATGGTCTTGCCAAGTATCCCACGTGTACAACTGGGCCAGCCAAGGGTTGTCGGTGTGTTGCAACCAGCACCACCTGCGGGGCGCACCAAAGTTGTGATTTGAACGGATGCGTGGGCAAGTTCAATGGGTTGGTCAAGTACGCCCAGTGCACAGGCAACTTTGAGGGCTGCGAATGTACAGCAACAAGCACGACATGCGGACCTCATCAGAGTTGTGACCTCAATGGATGTGGCGGCAAGTTCAACGGGCTTGCCCAATACGCCCAGTGCACGGGCAACTTCGAGGGCTGCGAGTGCACAGCAACGAATACGACATGCGGTCCTCATCAGAGCTGCGATCTGAATGGATGCGCCGGCAAGTTCAACGGCCTGACCAAGTTTGCCCAGTGCACGGGAAACTTCATCGGCTGCGAATGCGAGGCGACGAAGACGACCTGTGGGGCGCATCAGAGTTGCGACCTCAATGGCTGCGCTGGCAAGTTCGACGGGTTGGCTCCGTTTGCCAAGTGCACTGGCAACTTCCAAGGCTGCGAGTGTGCGGCGACGACCAACACATGTGGACCGCATCAAAGCTGCGACCTCAATAGCTGCGAAGGAAAGTACAGTCTCACGGATGGAAAAGCTTACTGCAGCCAAAACTTCATCGGGTGTGAGTGCATCGGAACTGGCCACACCTGTGGCGACCGACAGAGCTGCGACCTGAACAATTGCAAAGGCGCCTTTTCGGGGAGCGTGCGCTACGCCCAGTGTACCAACTTCTTCAAGGGATGCCCCTGCAACGCGACACCCAACACGTGCGGGTCGCCTCAGAGCTGCGGACTCAACGGCTGTGCCGGTGCCTTCTCCTTGTCGAACGGCAAGGCCTACTGCACCAACAACTTTGTTGGATGCGAGTGCGCGGCAACCCCAGGAACCTGCGGAGATCCGCAAAGCTGCGATATGAACAACTGCCAGGGCGCCTTCTCAGGCAGTGAGCCGCTCGCGCAATGTACGGGTTTCTTCAAGGGCTGCAAATGCAAGGCCACAGCCACAACATGCGGCAAGAAGCAGAGCTGCGATCTCAACGGCTGTGCGGGAGGTTACGACTCGAATGGCGTGGCTCGATGCCAGGGCAACTTTATTGGCTGCGAGTGCGTGGCCACCAAGGTAAGAAAGTAGCAAACTGGGTGCCTCTTCCGGCCTGAGGGTTGGCGGGCACTGGTCACCGAGATGCACAGCAATACTGACGCGAACACGGCGGCATCGCAGAACACGTGCAATGTCATCAAGAACTGCGACCTGAACGGCTGCAACGGCTCCTTTGACAGCAATTCCAACACGGCTCGCTGTCGAGGCCACTTTGCGGGATGCGTGTGCAACCCGGTCGCGGTAAGTTTGACAGCCTCCACTGCGCTTCAAGCCTGGGCCGCCCGATGCTGACACGCCTGACAACAGTCAACATGTGGCACCAGACAGAGCTGTTCTCTCAATGGCTGCAAGGGCGGGTTCGTCAATGGCAATGCGGTCTGCCTCAGCAACTATTACGGTTGCCCATGCATCCCCGACCCGATCTGGATTCCGCCGCCACCGCAAACATCAAACCCAGGATACCCGCCGCTCGAAAGCCCGTGGTACTGCGTGGGCATCTACATCGACGGCAATTGCGGTCCCGGATCCGGTAGCAACGGCGGTTGCACCCCGGAGTACCAATTTGGAGCCCTCAATGCAAACACGGGCACGATTGCCACGTCCGGATTGACCTGGAAAGCACTGACGGCCAGGGATCTTTGCGGTGCTACCATCGACGGCGCAACAGTCATTTGTAATGGCGACCTCACGCAAGAGTGCGCGGAGCCCGGCATTGCGCTGTACAAGTCGAGAACTTGTCGCACGCACTGCGCCCAATTCGGCGACTCGTCGTTTTGCACTCCAGACTTCACGGATGGCCAGCACTTCGACCGAACCCTGTCCGCAGTCCTAATATGTGATCGCGCCCTACCTTGAGTCCGACGGAGGGGCTGGAAAGGCGACGCCGCCGCTAACGTGAAGCCTCGCGCGTCAAGGCTGTCCGACGACTCGGCAACCGCCTCGCTGTTTGATGCGTCGTGGTATACCAGGAGAAGAAAAGGGGAGGAAGATGGCAGGTACCATGTGCCTCTACTGCCCGGCGTTTGGCGTTTGGCGTCATGGCTGCGCGTGGTCGACAGTGATCTTGTTGTGTGTTGTCCGCCGATGCCAATTTAAAACGGCTCTCATCAATGGCGCCGCGCGAGAAAAACGCAACACGCGGCTCCATCGAGCTGACGGCAAACGCTCTACTTAAGTCTCTTGTAGCGAACGCTCCCGCGACGAGGATCCAATTTCAATCGTCTCAGCTCAATGTCTCAGCTCAATTGATGAGCCAAATACCTGCTGCTCCATAGCCGCAAAGGCCGTCTCTGCTGCCAATGCCAGAGACTGTACCAGGCCAAACGCGACGCGGCGGTGCAGTCAGTGGCAGGGAGCCGACCGCATTCCTTGGCCAACGCGCCTGGGCCGGCGACACCAGCCTAATCACAACCCGCTTCAACCGCCTGCCTCCAGGCATCTTGCAGTGAGAGCTCATGTTCGATGTGGCAAGCTGAACAACAGTCACCGGTTCAATCATTCACTTGCGCAGTGGACGTTGCGTCCAAGCTCACGTGATGCAATGTTTCCCCAAGCTGTCTGTTGTGTAACACCCGTTCCACCCATCGGCGCACGGCGTCTGTTGTGCGACCCCGGCACGATACGCGGACTCGGCATCACGGTACTTTATTTTGGCGTGCACAAAGGGGCTGCGCTGGGACAGAGTGGATAGCATGGACTGGCATGGCATGGCGCGCAGCACGAAGTCAGAGCTGGTATATTGCTGCAACTTGTTTGTTCCAGCAACAAAGTGTACTGTTACCGACCTTGTGAGTTGTGATGGATGCCGCTGTTCCTTCCAGCGCTGGACGTAGCGCTGCCCACTGACGCGGTAGGGTGCCTGGACGGCGCACTACAGCGCCCACCCTAGACTTCATGGACCATCCACAACCAAGAGAATATAATCCACATCATGGAGCTTTAGACGTTCATGTAACGGCTTCATCATCTCGGTTTTCCTTCTCTCGAGAAGACTGTCCTTCTACTTCCGTCAAATGTTGTCCTTCAGGCTAAATGGCGCTGTCCAGTCCCTCCGTCATGATTACGTAGGTCCTCTCAGTGCATGCTCTTCAACTTGGGGCTACGAACCATCCAACACGACATTACTGGGATTGACATGACATGGCAGGCCTCAAGGAGATATCTTAAGCAGTTTACACATATGAATACTTGATGTAATGTGAAGATACATCGCGCGGACATCACGTGCATTTGCAATTCTGCACGAGCAGCATTGGACTTTGAACTCGTCACCCTGCGTGCAGTGCAGCCATTCGTCGGCGCTGACTGGCCCGGGGCTATAATAGCAGACTACTTGAACCGTTCCCTGCACCATGAATCTTACCAAGACAAAGCTTGCGACAACAGACTCATGCTCCTCTTACACGAAAGCTAGGCTTGATGATTCTTCGTAGATGGCTAAAGCTTTCACCTTCAAAGGTAAATAGTGTAGTTTGCCTTTTTCGCATTGGCATACGTGGACCAGCGTCGGCGAAGAGGTCACACCAGAGCACTCCATAGTGGTACCGTCGACCGTCGCTGCGGGAGGAAATCGGATGGCCCGATGGGGATGACCTCATTTCGGGACCTGAACGTCATTGGGACATGGTAAGAAGCCTCGCTTCCGTGGGAAGCATCCCCCTGGCACTGGGACTGGCAACACCCAAACTTGAGCTGTCGCGCGTAGCCAAACGCTTAAATGCCTGTCGGAAAGACCACAGCTCGCGGTCAAGGTAAGTATATCGGGTGTCTCGAATTGAAGACGCATAGGAATGCGAGCAAGCTGTGCTGAAGACGCCGCTCGCCCCAGAATGCTGGTAGTATAATGAGGCATCAGCTGTATGTGAGTTGTGTGCTGCCAGTGGAGGTTTTTAATGCGCGGTGTACCAAATCCCCCACCATTCAGAGCGAGCCATGCCGGAGGCGATTGTCTGTCAGGATCAATTGATTGCGTTGCTCCAGCACCGCCGGCTCGGCCGTGTATGACGTCGGCGCCGCAGGTCCGGGCTGTCGCAGCGCAGCCCGAGTATGTGAGATGCACAGACATCAATCATGCAAAGAACCTCCACGATCAGTTCGGCGGCCGTCGCGATTGACAGGGGGGTATGGCGCTGGCATCAACAAGTATTACACGTGCGCGCGATGCAAGACATGCGACAGGCTTGCACCCAGCTAGCGCTACTTGTCTCACCACCAATACCAGTGTACAGCGTCAGGCCGAGAGAAACACGACGGCCGCATTCCAAGCGTGCGTTGTGTAATACCAAAGCCTCCATGAGTGGCAGGTACGGTCGTGGGTATCGCCAGTTCCGCGACAAATTGAGACGTGCACCAGGAGACCGCGAAAGAAGACATCTCGGTGTAGGCTCATGGGCAGGAATGTAGTCAGCTACCAAGAGGTAAGCTGCAGGTTGCGGAATGAGTCCATGCGCCAGTTGGGGGAAATCAACAGTGAAGTCTGGAGTTGAGGACGTGGTATATAAGATACATGCGGCGCCAACTCCGATCAAGGACTCGACTTCCACCATCGCTCACTCCCCTACGGCTCATTCTGTGTTCAGCAAAGGCAATAACCACCAGAAACTCACCAACCCGCCAACGACACAATGCGTTTCATCACCGCCATCCTTGCCCTCGCGGCTACCGCGGCTGCTGCCCCCGAGATTAAGAGATGGTCCTCGCTGGATCAGATCAGCGTGCAGGAGGCGAACGATGCTTGCGGCAATAACCTGGAGCTGCACTGCTGCAACAAGGAGATTGACCAGGCCGCTGGCCACGGCGATGTCTCGAAGAACCCGGGTGTTCTTGGTGGCCTTCTCGATGGCGCCAGTGTCTTCGATGAATGCTCCCAGCTGTCGGTGGCACTTCGTGCGTATTATATTTTAACCCTGTGACAGCCCTCCATACTGACCCGTGCCCTCTAGTCATCGGCGTTCAGGATCTGCTGAAGTCCAAGTGCACGGCCAAGGCTGTCTGCTGCCAGCGCTCGCCGTCCAACGTAAGCTCCATATCCCTCCAACACTCCAGCTGTCGTGTCAAGTTGCTAATTCTCCAGGCTGCTGGCGGTCTCATCAATGCCGGCTTACCTTGCATCGCCCTCGGAAGCCTCATTCAGTAAATGGGGTTGGGCTTGATGTGGTATGCAGCCTGTATACGAGAGGCTTTTCTCAGGCTCAGCGTGGGTCATCCAATTGGGTGCTGCCTGGGTTGACTAGGCAAGGCGTTTATCAGACAGCGGCGTCGTGTACTGCACGTAGATACCGGAATCAGCTACGGCGACTATTCAAGAACTCATTTAATAATCCGACGTCAAATCTCTTATCTTCAAGCCACAGCCCCCAGTGCCGATATGATATGTCGTGATGCGTGCACGTCTTAGCATAAAATTGCGGTAATAAAGCAACCCTCATCAGGTCGAGCACATGCACGGGCCGTGTATCGAGGAGGGATCGCGTCTCGCAGTCTACTGGATGTATATTCCTGATATGATAGTACAATCATGGACCAAGTTTCATGCCTTGGCTGTGCCACACTCAATGTACCATTGTCTTGCCTTCCTCATGCTGCATGCGAGTGGCCGTCATTAGGACATAGCCCACGGTTTTCGTGACCACCATCTGCTCCACGATTGAGGCCCCTCCTCGAAGCTGTTCCCCGCTCGCTTCGTCGAGCAACAATGCTTTCTGACGGAGCGCCGCGGCCATGACCTCGTAATTGCGCTGCACGTTGTTTCTGATGTCCGTGAACTCAATGACCTCGAACCCGGCCTGTTGAAGCAGATCACGGTATTCTCTGGCGGTGCAAAGCGGCGGTGCTTGGCATAGCTGACAGAACTGAGTCAAGATGTCTGCATCAGACCCTGCCAGTGGCTCGTCGAGGAAGAAATCTGCAATGACCAGTCGGCCGCCAGGGCGAAGCGTGTGCCCAATGTGAGCGAGCGCAGTTGCTTTATCATCCATGTGGAACAGCGATTCAATGGCGTAGGCACCATCGAAAGATCCATCAGCAAACGGCATGTCCATGGCATTGGCGAATTGGAAGCAGACTTGTCCTGGCTGTCTGGTCGTTCCGTACTGCGCCTGAGCGAGCTCGATCTGCCGGTTGCTGATACTTATCCCCAGAACTCTGGCGCCGGCAGCACTGGCAATCTGCGCCGCGGGCTTGCCAGTGCCGCACCCAACATCGAGGATGCGCTGGCCTGGGCCAAGGCTGAGCCGCTCGGCGACCAGACTTGTTAAGCGGTCGGTAGCAGCACCGATGGCCAGTCTTTCGGCAGGATTATCGAAGTAGCCGAAATGAATGCATCCGCCAAATATATCGGTGCACAGGTCAGAGAACTGGTCGTACAGGGTGCCAACCGCAGCTGGCGATGGTTGCTCCGCCATGGCTATGATGAAGCCACGAACAAAAGTAAGAGCGTGCTGGCTGTGAAGCTCAAAGTATTGATCGAGGAGGCCTTTATCGTATCGGCGAAGGGTCATATGAGTACGTCCCGATATAAGGTGAATACAAGCCATTAAATAAGTCACCCTGAACAAGCTGGTTTAACGACGGCCGTTAGCACTGATAGCAGTCGCCATGTGCATGGGTCGAGATCTCAGGTCAGCCGCGCGTCACACCCCGCCGTGAACCCTGTTAAACATACGATATACAAGAACCGGTACTGGGTCGAGAATTAATCGCCTTGGAAGAGCTGGCTCAAGGTGAGCGTGCTCCATATAGTGGCGACCATGTAGTTCTCGTGGAGCTGCAACCGAGAGATCCCGCAAAGGCACTCTATAAGTACGTCTCATACGCGCAATCTACCTAGGGGGGACCGTAGCGGCATTAATGGCCATCGGAAGGTCCGATCTCGTCGATTATGCCTGCTTCTGATTCCCCAGTGAGGAGTAGGGATGGTATCTAGGCGACATCTCGTTCCTCCGAGCGCGCACATAGGGAATGCCCTGATCCCAATGACTTTTGCCAATGCATGTCTCTTCCAAATATGCGGACATAAACCTCGACGGTGAGGACCCTAGTCATGATAACCACATTGTGTTATCCAGCATGAATTTCTACGATACTTGCAAGGGACTGGTCGTTGATAGGAACGTACAGTTCTACCAAAGGGCGAGCAACACCGCTTTCCTCATCGTAGAGATTGAGAACCTGCAAGTGCCGCCCCGTATTGACGCGTCACAAGTACGCTGCATGTGCTCCATCATACGAGGTTGAGCTTATGACAGCCGAGCCAAGTGGTTAGCGACAACATTGAAGGCCCACCCCAAAAGCGTCGCTATTGACATCAAATCCTTGATTGACGGTTTAATCTTATTGCCTAGTGCGAGGTGCGCATCGTACTCTCAGCCAACTTGATTTGGCATGTCCTGAATGCCAAATTGTCAATTACGACCACCCGCACTGTTACGTGCCCAGCGACGTCTGTGAGCCATTTGGCCCAGGATGAATGCGCCACACATAGGGACGTTAGCCGCCCATTTCACCAAACCAATGAAGACACCATTCTCCGTCAAGAGTGCAACAAGATGGCGCCAAGGGCACCTACAGCTGGTAGACGAGTTGCAGCTTTATTTCCATGTTCCGTCTAAAAGGGAGCCAGTCATATTTGCGTTCCTTGGCGTGTGAATCCTAGGATTGGGGCCTCTGAAGTGGCGGGCGATCGTCTGTGTTAGCACTGCAAATGGTCGAATCTCGCCGGGGCTTCTCCCTGAGTTCCTGCCTGCATCAAATACTTGGTGGGGGCCTGTCACTTGTGCAAGTCGTGCTCACTAGCAGGGGCGCAATCCAATCGGCACAATTCTCGCAGCATTGGGTCGAGGCTTAAAAGCGCGGATCATCGGCGTAAGAATCTGGGGAAGCCCGACAGCCCAGCCACATTGCCTGTCTGGGGTACCTCAAAGCTCGTGGCGGTTGTCACTGCTCCCGTGGTCTGGTAAATTCCAGGAAGTTCCGCCTATCTGAGAAAATTGGCTGAGCGTTGCAGCTTGGTGAGCTCTGCCTCTTGGTGAGACTTGCTGAGAGCCCTAGGTCAGGCTGCTAGCTTGTAGCTGGGGGTGGAGCCCCCTGGAGCGGATCGAGATGGCCACCCGGCGGCGACCGTGCCGCCCATGGAGAGGCGTCATCATCAGCCCCATGACGCATGAATGACCACGAGTACCGTGTGCCTGGGATCTAAAACCGGGTATATGAACACGCAAAAGCCCGGTGCTCTTAGCTTACTACCTTGTGCCTACTCTTGCAGTAAAATCGACGTATCACTCTACAATATGTATCTGCCCAACTCACAGAAGCTTATCGCCGCGGGCTTGGCGCTCATCGACCTCGCAAATGGTACGTGACTAACATGAAGGATGAGCCCAGGGCTACTCCTTGTGACACACAGCAGCTGATATGATCTCGGTAGTTGGCGACTCCGTCGTAAAGGGCAAGGTCCTCGACTACGCCGTTGAAAAGTGCCTGGATAGCGACGGCAATGTTCGCTGCTCGAAACCATTTCCCGTCAAGGAGGGGTCGTGTTACACCCTTGAATGGTCTACGGACGGCAAGATCTCGCATACAACTATCGAAGTCCGTGACGCGGGCAGCGGCGAAATGGTCTATTACCGCGACACGAATGGCGACTGGAAGCCGGAGAAGAATGAGCTCGTTTACTTGGACTTCAAGCCCAAGATATGGAAGACGGGTAACGACACGGTGGAATATGAGGTCAAAAAGTGCGATGACGATGGAAAGGACCTATAAAGAGTGAATGTTATCCTATATACACGGCATACACTGCACCCTAATTTAGTCAAATGTCAGCGATACTTTACGAGTGCTTAAATGGAAAGCGTGCCACAAGATGATGGTGACGACATGTCCTAATAGCATGCCTCATCCTAAATCCGATACTAATATGACGCGCGATGTTCACGGTACATCCCCACCCCCTAAAATCGCGCCATTACTAACTTACGAGTACTGATTGCGTAGCCTGACATTGGGGTGATCCCGAAGACAAGGAGTGACATCCTGCCCAGAGGAACTTTATTTTGCCGAGGGCTTACTGAGGTTGGGTACGACACTTCAAGGACTGATATATTCCCATAGACCCTTTATTCTGGCGCCTGCGACATCGAATGTTAGATACAGATCCATATTGCGGATCACATAATTGCCATTTCTGCCGGTGTGGCATGGCCAACGGAGAAAGCGTCGGCGCTATCTCCAATCCTTCCCATGTCGTCGAGGTTAACGTCAGCGACATTCTCACTCCCGGTACCAACATCGATCTGTGCGATCATAATCAGACCGATACGTGCAATCACTCGTGTGGAACATCTGGCTCAGAATGATGAGCCCGCCTGACGAGGACTACCTCGTCGAAGCGTTCGATCCGGCTGCTCTGGTCCGTGGTTGCCTCCAACAGACCTGGTGCGCCGGGAGGGGCTGGTACCAATGTTGCCGGGGAACGCAAAAGCCTTTTCAGTCATACATGAACGAGCCTTGGCCAGTGCGGATCGACTGCGGCTGAATGAATCAGGTTAAATGGCGAAGTCATCGGCATTTCTGGAAGAATACAGTTCGGGTGTCATACTCGGTACCGTATACCATTTTGGGCGGTCGTGGGGCTGGCTGATCAACTGCCTCATGATGCAGCAGGTCAGACCATGTGAGACTAGACGGCCGCCGAACCCAGCAACCAGGAGCGGTGATGTGGAAGTTGGCTCAGTGCCTGCGTGTACAATCCGGCCGGCGTAACCCGTCGGCTTGTCGGGCATCGTCCCAGTGCCCATGTGCGTCGCCATAGCGTGTTCATTGAACAACCCTTTCTTTATGTTTTTGTATAATTTAAACCTCGTATCTATATAAATGACGACCGACGACCGGCAGAAGAGCCTGGTCGGACGGGAGTGTGCATCTAGTGGTAAAACAAAGTGCCTCCCACATATTCAGGATGGTGTGTCGATGCACCAATGTGTTGGAGGAAGCGGAAGCCGGACTTCCGGATATGCTATGCGCTAAGTGACAAGCGCAGCTTATTCCTCCAGACCTTCACTGTAGTTCGGACACATATTGTGGTCATATAAGAAGCCGACACATCCCAGGGAAGGTGCAGTATACTACCTACTCTACACACTCTCTCGTCTTGCCGGCCACGCCTGTTTCTCTCTTTCTGCTGCTGCTCGAGACGACAGCCAAGACGTACGACACATACATCATGGCTCCCAAGGTTGCGATCGTTTTTGTAGGTCGGCTCTCGACCGAATGGCTACACCTACCTCATGACTGACATGATCCCTACTTAGTACTCCATGTACGGCCATATCCGGCAGCTTGCCGAGGCCGAGAAGCAGGGCATCGAGAAGGCCGGCGGCAAGGCAGACCTCTACCAGATTCCGGAAACCTTATCCGACGAGATTCTCGCGAAGCTGCACGCTCCACCAAAGCCGACTAACATCCCTGTACTGAGCGACCCGTCTGTCTTACTAGAGTATGACGGCTTCATACTCGGAGTACCTACACGATATGGCAACTTCCCTGCCCAGTGGAAAGTACGCATACCAAGTGGATCTGCCTGCCCTGAGAGCTGACGACAGTATGACAGGCCTTCTGGGACGAGACAGGCAAGATATGGGCTTCTGGGGGATACTTTGGCAAGTTCGCGAGTCTCTTCATTTCGACTGGCACTCTCGGCGGCGGCCAAGAGTCTACTGCTCTTGCGATGATGTCAACCCTGGCGCACCACGGCATCAACTACATTCCGCTCGGTTACGCAAAGACATTCCCTCAGCTTACTGCCATCAATGAGGTGCATGGCGGTAGCCCCTGGGGCGCTGGCACTTTCGCTGCCATTGACGGGTCACGCCAGCCCAGCGCTCTCGAGCTAGAAATTGCCACAGCCCAGGGCGAGCATTTTTATGAAACTGTCTCTAAGGCTTTCAGCTAGGCGATTGTATCACCATGACCCCATTGTATGCCTAGAAAGGCCATGCGTGAGTGGCAGTGGCGGAGGAAATGGTCATTCAATGGTGCCAAGACTGGATACATGTGCGAGTCTTGTGCGAAGCCGACGCTGATATGTATGGGGCAAGTCACCGCTTTAACGGAGCGGCATAACCTTGCAGCTAACCAACGCCGCAATATATACACCAGCATGTACTTAAGCTCGGGTCAATGGCCAAGCTCATCGAATAGGAAAACCCGGCTTATATGTCCTTCAGTAGCCTGGGTATGAGAATATCGTCGTACGCCCAGAGAGCAGTTTGGTAATGAACGCTCCAAGCCGCTCCTGTCCACCAAGTAGACGACCTCCCTTGAAGCGCATAGAGCTTCTGGAAGAATCCACTTGAGACTTCCTCTCCAGATACATGCGCATACATTGGTCCGTGGTCCGAGAAGTCTGCCCACGTCACTTGTTCCTCCGTCCCATCCGGAGCGGGAACGACGCCAGTATCAACAAGAGTGTCAATGTCACGATTCACCAGCTCTTTGGCATTGCTTGCATCCAGATTTTCGTCGCCGACAATGTTGACGCGGAAGTAATGCCCAATGCCCATGTAATCGATGCGTGCGTCATATGGAATCTCGGGATACGAAAGGTAGTTGTTGGGGGCGGCGTTGAGGGGTAAGTTGAAGTATGATGCGTTGACTTCCAGGAGATCGCTGTCAATAATTCCAGCATATCTCCGCGTGTATTTGAACTTTGAGAAGGTATCTCGCTCCTCGCGATCCAGATGAAAAGGTCTCGTGTTATCGGCAGTTGGCTCGATGGCAATGAGCAACCGCTTGGCCTTGACAATGGTAACGTGTCCTGTTTCCGTGTTCTTTACCGCGATTTGGACTCCTGTATCAGTGCGCAAGGCGTCCAGGACCGTGCTTGAATAGAAGACGTCTGATCCGAGAAGCTTTGCCACCGCATCGTACACGTCCTGGTTCCTTCCAGACGCAGGAACAAATGAATCTTGTAATCCAAGGGTCGAGCGAGCCATGGCAGCTGTAAACGTCTGCAAGACAAACAGAGTGAGTTCGTTGGTGATGTTTCCTAGCCCCAGACCTGTGACTTGGTATATAAATGGCGTCGCTTGCTCCAGTGCGTGTTTCGTAGCAAAGGCGCCATAGGGGATCAAGAAATCGTCTGGAATCGCATCGGGACTGGGGAAGTCAAAATATCCAGGCTGGATGAGGTGCTCCCAAGGCTCGACAATATCGAGGAACCGCTTCAATGCATCCATTTGTGAGGTCATCGGAGGTGGCTTGAAGTCGACGAGCTTCCGAGCCTTGAAGTCAATGTACGTGGTATTGAGGCGCGAGGGAGTGCCATGTTGTCGTTTGATACCCAGTCGATCAAAGAATCCTGTCGCATTGCCCTCGTCGATAAAGGACTTTACACCGAAGTCAAGAGGAGTGCCGGTATTTGGGTCGACGAAGGAGTCAACATGGCCGCCCTGTATCAGATCAATCCGTCAGTGGGGGCTCGGGTAGGAGCACAGAGTGCGGTACGTACAAGTCTGTCCCTTTTCTCGATGAGAGCCACAGTCTTTCCAAAATCTTCCCTGATGCGAACCGCGGCATAGGAGCCTGATGCGCCGCCTCCAATGATAGCGACATCTTTGAATATGACTTGCTCTGCAGCCGAACAAGCGGCCACGAAGAGGGCAGCCGCCGCAAACACAGTAAGCATGGTGGGCCGATTGTTTCTCGTCGGCGACGGAGGAGACGTCGCAAAGCCAGATAGCTACCGCGTCTGGATGGGAAAGGCTGGAGGTTCAATCCTGAGCACAGGAACACTCCGTGCACCCGATAACCGGAGAAGGGAGGTTGTTTGTTGTTATTCTTGGTCTTTGCGCCATACCGGATGTGAGCTTGACACTACTTATTAACTTAGGTGTTGCGCTGTTCCGTTCAGTGGATGCCGCACTGAGACTTGCCCCACGTAGTGTGTCCAGCGAAGCAGCCAGGCTTTGCTTTTCCAACAGTGTTACGACGCAAAGGTCACTTACGTTCCCCCCTGGCATATTCAATGGCACAAAGTGGCAATTGTTGAGAGCGGAAGAGCCTGCGGCTACTCTGCGCGCTACTTGTTGATCGGACGAGCGCAGTCAAGATGGAAGCCATTTGCAAGGAAGCCACACACCAGACTGGTACCCGCTCCACCAGTCGGGCAAGACATGCTAATTTAACGGGCGAGCCAGTACCGACAAATCGCCTGCGGCACGCAGTCTAAGACTCTCTGTCCAGCAGTCTCATCCCCTGGCCCGGCGAGGAGAACAACAATGGCAAATGGTAACGTTCAAAATCAAGAAAGCATGTTCGTACCTTGTCTTTCGTCCCAGACGCTGCCGTCAGAAGACCCACAGCGTATCCCGACATCTGAATTGAAACCCAATTCTGATGCGCATGACGGGCTCTGGATATCGGGGTAACGCAGTACTAACATCGGCCACCCCCGTACTGGCGTTTTCGCTCTTTTCCCGGGCCAGTGCAACCCAGATCTGCTGGCGCACATCCTTCTCGCCATTTGTTTTCTTTTTCTGCTTCCGTTTCCTTTCCTTCCTTTGTTGGGCCGCAATGGCAGCCCTTCGTGTTCGGGACCTACCCGACCGGACGTCACAGAGATGTCTGGCCGAAGCGCCAAGGTCCCGGAATGGCGACGACTTCCTTAATCTCGCCGTTCATGCCGGCGACGTGCGTACTTCAGTCATCATCATCATCATCATCAACATAACGGTCTCGGGGATCTTATTAGCGACTCAGCCTCAATCGGCCCTGGGAATTGCGGATCTCCCATCCTCCTGCCTGCGCCATTCCTCAACGTTTCGCCTGGTGGCCCCCACCAGCTCTCCTCGCCATCCAGCGTGGACAAAGTCTCCCCATCTTGAAGCTCCAGGAGCCCAGTCTACAACGCCTGCCGCACGCACGCCATCCACTGCGTGTAGCAGTCCGACAGCAACATTGACCGTGCCAGGGAAGGGGCCATCTGCATAGAAAACAGATGCTGCGCAATTGGAGCAGAAATGCTGATACCCGCCATCGCGAGTCTTGTAGTGCGCCAGGTTCCGTAGCTGGGATGGACGCCTGGGATCAGAAGTGGCGAGCCTAAGATCCTCGATATTCGAGGGAAAACGAGTGCCAGGGAATGATGCGAAGCCGATACTCCGCAGCTTGACAGAAACCCAGCTCATTACATCAACACCTGCGCATGTCTGGGACGACCGGGAAGCGTCAAACCAGGCTGTAAGCTTGTAGGGCGACGAGTGGCCAGAGCGCGCTGAATGACCTGCAGGTTGCCGTCTGGCCAAATTGTCAGTCGCTTTACGGCAGAGAACGAGGTCGATGGCCCTGCAGTGACAATGGAAGGGCACATTTTCTCGAGTCTGGTTCCGAATGCCGTCCCTGCTCGGCTCGGCCATGGCAACAGGGTCGACAAGTCCGCTCGTCTGGCGCCAGCTGCGGTAACAAGGCAGCGGGGTGGTCTGCCCTGGCAAGTGTCGCATCCATATTGCTGCACCACCATCGAGTGTGTCGCCGACAAAGATGTGATCTCTGACTCTGACGGCATCCGCCCTACCTCCGACTGACAGGACGCCTGTAAACACCTCGAGGGTCTCCTCCTCTCCCGCCTGGCCTGCACCGTTTGCGGAGCGCCTCTCGTAGCAAAACATGGGGCTGCCGCAGGAGCCGCAGAAGAATATCGTCACAGCCGGCGAGAATTGGTATTCGCGTAGCCCGAGGGCGCGCACACTGGCAAGTGTTCCGGGCCAGGCGGTGTTGGTGGAGTACATTGCCCCGGTCATATGGCGACATGACGTGCAGTGGCAACATGAAGCCTGGAGAGGGAGGCTGGAAATTGGAATGGGAGCTCTGACAGCGTGAGCCTCACAGAGACATTGAGCTGTGAGCTCACATTGACCTTCTATCGCCATCATGGTAGTTGCCGCATCGTGCGTTGACCAAGCAAAGAATGAACGACACTGTCCAAGGTCGAAGCAAAGGCAGTCCGCTCGGATCGGCGCAGGCAGAGTTATTATTTATTACGTCCAAGGCGGCAGGGGGAATATTAGGCCGTCTTAACCCCCATTATGAATCGACGGCGCGACGACGCAATGGTCACTCGCTCGCCCCGCCGCGTCTCTTACAGCAGGGGCGGGACGCCAGGGTCACCGACTCACCGTGATATGCGCCGTAGCCTCAGGACCTTGCCACTACGGCGGGCCCAAAGCGGTGGCTGCCACAACGACCTCACGACTGCATTCGCTGACTCAAAAGCTCGGTGCCGGGCGCAAGTGAAGCGTACCATTTCATCCAGTTGGTATGCCGGGTTTCAGGGAAGCCATTCAGCGGCGTGCCACTGCCGTTCCTATACCGTCCCACGCGCTGTGGACAGTGTCTGTGGCAATCTGTGCCTTTCAGGGTCCCCTGACGCAGGACTGGAGGTTTGCAAATTGTGGGGTTCTTGGAGCGAGCGCTGGGGAACCGTTTCGCTACCACTGTCTCTGTAAATAGCGTAGTCTGTAGTATTCTGGACATAAATTCCTGTACGGTCTGTAGGCCCTCCTCCGATCTGCGCAACTTCCAGCTTCTTTCGCAGAAGCGAGCCTGCTAGCCTTCAAGACACCGACGTGATGTGCGAACTCCAACATGACGTTGATGAGGTTATGTCCCACACAACGCAATGCACCACGTCCGCCCCGTCCCGCTCAAGTCCGGCCACGCTAATAAGGTCCGCCATTCGCGCCGCCCATCTTCCCACGACGATCGTGCCTGGCCTTTCGTCGTCCGATCTTTGTTCGGCCGAGGCTTCCTTGCCTGTGGCATCCCCTTCCACCTGCATTTCCTTGGAGGCCATCCTCAAATAATGCAATTCCCACGTGGACCACCTCGGATGCGCCGGGACGGAGAGTGGACAGCCACGAGGAGAACGCATTTGACAGGAGATGAGAACTCACTGTAGCCACCGTCCAGAGTCAAGCGCCCCAGCCATTGGCGTACAGCAAACCGCCTAATGGCACCTGTCCCGCAGTCATGTCGATCTACAGGCGGACGGGGCGCGATGTCCCGAATAGTGTAGCGATAGTGTTTCCGCCCAGGGCTTCATGAGGACTGCAGATGCATATACGACACGGGCAACGGGCCTGTAGCGCGGTCAATTTCGCTTTACCGCCGCTTGAATGTGAGTAAGTCAAGTCACGGTCCCAATGCATGTGGCATTGTCTCGACTTAGAAAATGGGCTCTGGAAGACGCCGAGCTGAAGGAGCTGAAACTCAAGTGATCAATGGCAGGTGTTGTGAGTTGGCGGCGCAGCCAGCTGAACTTACAACTCCGGCGGATGGCTGGATAACTTTGCTTCATCGGCTCAGCCATAGGTTCTTTGGCCAATCTCATTCCCAAGCCTGTTGTAGGTGACGTTATGTGGACGTCGCATGGGCGCCGGAGCCAGATTACGAGTGACCGATGCGAAGATTCGGGACCAGCCATGGTCTCTTATTATGCGTGTCCCTCTCTCCCGACGCAGACGCCGTTGCTTCTGCTACGACTCTTGCAGACATTTTCATACTAGTATCGTTGTAAAGGCACTCCACGAGTCAACTATGACTACCGATTTCGCAGATCTTCGTCGGCAGATCGCTGCTGGCGATGTGCTTCTCCCGGGTGAGGATGGCTACAAGGAAAGCTTGAAGCGCTGGAGCCAGAGCGCCGAGAGACCGGCGGTGCGTATCCTTCTATGCACTTCTAGCTACCTTCCTAATCTTCGGTAAAGTGTATCTACTCACTTTGATCATTCGTCAGGCGGTGGTAGTACGGGCTACGAACAGCAACGAGGTGTCGGCTGCCGTCCGCTTCGCCACATCTCGCAATATCCCGCTGACGGTCCACGGAGGAGGGCATTCAACAAGTGGTGCCTCGTCCTCCGATGGGGGGATGGTGATAGACCTCAGTCGCATGCGCCAAGTTAGCGTGGACACGGCAGCTCGTACAGTCACCTACGAAGGTGGCTGTGTCTTCGGGGAGGTCGACACAGCGCTTGCTGCCCATGGACTCGCAACCGTCGGTGGCCTCTATAACCAGACGGGTGTCGGCGGTCTGGTTCTTGGAGGAGGCCATGGTTTCTTGACTGCACGACATGGTCTTGCGATCGACAACCTCATCTCAGTAGAGATGGTGCTTGCAGATGGCTCTATCGTCGAGGTGTCTCAGGCACATAACCCGGATCTGTTTTGGGGTATTAGGGGTGCGGGAGCACAATTCGGCGTTGTCACGCGGTTTACCTCAAAGGCGCACGTTCAGGGCGATGTCTGGGGCGGACCCTTGCTCTTCTCTTTGGACAAGGTGCCCGAACTCGTTGCGTTTGCCAACGAGTTCCACAAGCGCAACGTTCCAGACCACAATTTCATCATCGCATTTGGATGTGCTCCGGAGGAATACACGACGCCAGTTGCCATTGTTGGCGTCTTCTACAATGGCTCCGCGTCTGACGGCGAAAAGTACTTTGCGAAGGTTCTGGAAATGGGGCCAATGGCCAACTTGACTGGCACGATGCCATACGCGACCACAAACACGCTCTTCAACCCAAGGTTTGACGGGACAGGGCGCAGACTCATGGGATCGTGCAGCGTGGTCATGCCTCTCAACGCTGAGTTTATCGCCGAGGCTGGGCGAAGGTTTACCGACTTCATCATTTCCCACGGTGGCATGTCAAAATCAGTCCTCGTCTTCGAATTCTTCCCTACGATGGCAATTCAGGCCACGCCTCACGACGCAACTGCGTTTGCCAGTCGTGGCGACCACTATTTGGCTATTATGGCGCTGATGTACGATGACGCCTCTCACGACGCGGAGGTTCGCACCTTCAAGCGCCATCTCTCGCACTACATCCAGACAACCTGTGGATATCACGGCAGACGAGCCCACGGAGATCATGCTCCTTTCTACGTCAACTTGGAGCACGAAAGCCTGAAGCCGGAGGAGGCCTTTGGCAGCCACGTGGACAAGCTACGCGAGCTCAAGGCCAAGTACGATCCTCAGAATGTCTTCCACAAGTGGCATGGGGTAGTGTCAGAGAAAAAGTGAAGTTACCTGGTAGTTAGTTGGGCTGGACGGCTGAACCGCAACGATGGTTCTGATGCAGATTGTCTAGAAAGGAACCGATCTAGCCTCCGTCAGATGCCACCTGGGGTCGCTTGGCCGGGCAAACGGCAGAGCTGTGGATATGCTTGTATGGTGGACTGGTTCGAGTTCAATCATCGATGGCTGTAGCATCTGGGACAGGAACCGAGAACATGCATAGGTGAATATGCAGTGCAGCTACAGCGCCGTGCACTTGAGAATAGTGCAGATCCCCAATTTGCGATCAACAATCAGAGGCAGAGTTCATCTCCACGCGCCATCAATCGCCCAACACGCGTGTGGCTATAGTCAAATTATATCTCCTTATTCTACCGGACAGAGCAGCTCTTGCTGGTGCAAGGTCGCAACAGGAATGCGCGTATGCGCATCTGCGCCAGGCCTGTCAACTGTCCAACTCACAGACAAGTGCGGTCCCCTAACCAAGAAGTCCGCGCAAGCTCGCTTCATTTCATCCATTCCCGCTTGTCTCCACGGTGCAATGGTCAGAGCCTCTCCAAGTCTGACATTCCTGAGACATGGGGACCAAAAAGCCGCTTGCTGAACCAGAGCCAACATGTCATTCGCCATGCCCCTGTAGACATACATCACTCGCAGCTTCTGGAGCGTTGGTGGCAGAAGCTGGCATAAGCGGCCGGGGCTAGAATCTGGATCCGTACTTGATGGACTAAAAATAGACACCTGGTCGAGTCCTAATTCCTCCAGCTTTGTGAATTCTCGGAGTCGGTGAATAGCACTTGTGTCATGAGAGACTGTGAATGCATCCTCGACGTATCTTCCCAGCGGTATTGCAGGCTGGGCTCCCTCGATTTCGGTCCTAGATATCTCGGCAGAATCCAGTGGAAGGCAGGAAAAGTACAAGCGTCGGAGCGTATCCCTCACTGGTGTAAAGGATTGCACGATGTCAGAAACATTCCATATGCTGGCACTTCCCTGTCGATAGTACTCTAGATGCTGAAGCTGATGGCATTGCCGCAACAGATCACGAAGTTCCTCCGTTCCGAGATTGGTGACGACTAATCGGATTAATCGAGAGAATGCAACTTCCGTGCTCGACTGGACGATGCGAGTCCAACCTATGGAGTAGGAGCAGTCAAGAAGGTACAGGTCCCGAAGGTTTGTAGCCGCTGCTATGAGGCGCGCCACTCCAGAAAAGTAGTACTGGCCGGAGTATCCTCGAATCGCCAGAGACCAAAGGCGAGGGAGGGTGACTTTGGTATCTGTAAAGAACCGAGACGGTGCGGTGTGAGCAATATATAGCATCTCGATGTTTGCACAAAGTGTGATCGCGACCTGCATGAGCCAGCGCCGCATCTCACTTGTCGAGGGATTTCCACTGAGCCGCAACCTTGCTTCAACGATGGGGTTGCGCGAATGATCGCACTCAGTCAGCAGAGAGTGCATGTTTTCGACCGCCGTGTTATCGGTCCCGTTCCCCAGGGCGCAGCCCGCCAGCTGCAATGCCTTGACTTGTCCAGCCAAATCTTCCCGTCGACCGATGGTACGCAGAAACTGAACAAGCTTATCGTCATGGATGCGGCCGGCAGAAACTGTCGAAGAAACCAGGTCAAACTTGAGAGGGATGTTTCCTGTGGCGTAGTAGTGGTAAAGGACGGGCTGCGCTAGGTTGTAGCATCTTTTCGATGTCCGACATAAACGGGCCAATGCGAGCTTGCCGGCGCTTGTATCAGAGTTGCCACCGTCTGGAAATACGCTAGGTTGTTGGCAGTGGCAGCAGAGCTGCTCGCATATAATAAGTATGATGTCATCTGGTAGCAGGTCCAGCATTGCTGCTGCCAATATTTCTCGGGGCCTGCTGAATGACGGAAGTTAGAGCTGAGGTGCGGTCACCACGCCTGAGGTCGAAATCGCAACTAGCCAATTGATCGCGTGGCACGTGACGCATATTCCGAGGCTCCACGCTGGCTACCAGACCCCTGAAAGCACAGGTGATGCATGGATGATAGCTTTCACAGTTGCGAACAATTTGTTTCTATGATCAATTACCAATTATCGGCAGGAATATTGTATGTTCGGTCGAAGGACCAGCAGCTTTGTACTTGGATCGGACACACCACGTCCTCCTCACACCTTGTCCGGTCTACTAAACCCGCTTCTTCTCAACAGTGCCGGAAGCAGCAACCTTCTCGGTGTTCGCGGCGACATGCTCAAAGTGGTAAAGCGGAGCTTTGACAGCGTCTCGCTGGAATAAGATCCATCTTTTGACAAACCAGGGTAGGACAACAAAGACCTGATACCGCATAAATTCACGAACAGGCACGGCGAACACCCAGTCGAGCTCCTCCAGGGTACGCAGCATAGTCTCTGGAACCCAGAGGAATATCATGACGAGGGCGACGAGGTTCAGGCCGGCATAGAAGCAGAACACACCCTGTAGACATATGTTAGACCGATGAAGAGTAACCGCGACACAACGGGCGCAATTCGGCTGGTGGAACACGTACCAGGGCTCCGAGCTTGACCAGCATGAAAGGGAGCGTAATGCCGAGGACAGACGCCCAGCCTAAGCAAGTGGCAACAGCGAAGGCCATGCCCATCTCCCGATGCGACAACGGGTACACCTCTGCCGAGTAGGCGTAGGGCACCGGCCCTTCTCCGGGCGAGTAGAATGCCGCAAAGAGAAAGACGAAAAGGCAGATAAGTCCAGTGCGAACGTTGCCAGCATCTTCGCTGATTAGAGTGCATAGGCCGGCACCGAGCAGCGTCCAGAACTACATCCTGTGAGTCCATGTGTCCATGTCACACCCAACATGTACGTAGCGAGCCAACTCACCATGTGAGGGAACGTGAAAAGGAGAAGGGTGCGACGGCCAAAGGTATCAATTGTCCAAACCGCGGGGAAGCAGAAGAGCCAGTTTGTCAATCCGAACCCAAAGGAGCCTATCATGGCTTGGAAGTCACTGAGACCGGACTGCTTGAAGATGGTGGTGGAGAAGAAAGCAATGATGTTGATCCCACAAAGCTGCTGCGCAAGCATGACCGTGAAGGCGGCAAGATTAGCTCGACGAATCCGTGGAACCGTGAAAAGCTGTACTCCGCGCTGCAGAAAGTTGGTTTGGCCGATTATCTGATGCTCGATGTCAAGCTGAGCGTTGATATAGTAAATATCTCGAGCGACTTGTATGTCATTAAATCGCAATTTCCTCAGAGACGCCCACGCGTCAGCATAGCGATTTCGTTTCATAAGCCATCGAGGAGATTCGGGGCACAGATAAATTAGCAAGATTAGTGGCACAGCCGGGATGCATGGCAAGCCAAGCATCAGTCTCCAGTTGCGATCGCCCTGCACTTTATAGACGGCGAGATTGACAGCCGTTCCAAGCATGATGCCAAATGCCACCCAGAATTCTATGATTCAAAGCATCAGCAAAGTTCCGGTGAGGTGAAGTTTGTCGGCAATGGCTGGTTTCTCTTACGCCAGGACATAACAAGCGCACCGCGGATGGCCGCCGGCGCATTCTCTGCTGCATAGACCGGCACCGTGGAGAATTTCAGACCGATTCCGATTCCCATGACCAGCCTGCAAGCAAGCTGTTCGTACCACGTCCGACAGAAAGCGGAGCCCAGTACTGGCCACATTGCAAAATGTGCTGATACAAATATTGTGCCACGACGTCCAAGCCAGCGATTGCACGGGTCTGCTAGCCAGGATCCGACGACACTTGACCAAGACATGAGTAAAACTGGTAAGCCCGAAAGGAGATGCGGGAATTTTTGCCGCCGACATGATGTGGTAGTCACTTACGCACTGCTTAAATACGGGCCGGCGTTGATGAGGCCGACAAGCACCGTGTCATGAGTGCTGTCACTGCCGATACCATAGTACTGAGGGAAAAATATGGTGGCGCCATTTGAACCGGTCTGATCCCAGCCAGCGACAGCAGAGCCAATTGAGCAAGTTGCGACGGTAAGGAATAGTTTCCATGGCATACGCCACTTGTGGTTGACCTCATCCTCCAGGACCTGGATTTGTTCCTCGCTCAGTCTCTCGGCCCCATCAATATCGCGCAGACCCAAGGGGTTTTGTGCAACGAGAGCACCTTGTTTGAGTACGGCCAGGTGTTCCTGGAGGCCATATTTGTCGGCGAAGACTTCAACATCTTGCATCAGTTGATTTCGTGAAATACCCTCCAGCGGGTTTCCGATCCTGAGAGATGAAAGTTTAGTACATGTAACAGCGAGCTTTGGCTACCACCAGCCAAGGCAGGTGGGTTGCTAAAGACAACAATGCACTGGACTTCGCCTCAAGGTTCTCGGGCACCTGAATATCCTCAACGCAGGGCATGCGATTCGGGGAGTCTGCGGTGCCAGTGCCAGCACCATCGCTTGGCGATTTGATGTCCGCCATAATTGCCGGCAGCGTTGTTCGAGGATGGATTGCACACAGTCGAGCAGCCCTTCCGGGCCAGAGAGCAAGGCAAGCCCATATTTATGGACCAAGGAAGGCGAAAACACTCCAGGTCTCCTCCACCAACACACAGTTAACGATGGCCATGAAGGGACGGAGTCATTTGCCCCCCTCCCAAGCCATGCTAATTGCCGACGGCTTGCCGTCTTTTTCCAGTCACAGCATGAAGTATCTGTTGGTACAGCTGAAAAGCTGAGCCAACTTGTAGGTTGGTCCGCTCGTTCATGATAGACCTGACTTAGCATCTCGACGTGGCTGCCCAGCAAATAGTGCCCAGCGCGCTCAGGGAGGTCATGGCCGCGGTGGTAACCCCGATACCGCGTACGAGTGCAAGCGCACTGCGTGTCTACATGTTTCGACCCTGAAACCCTATGTGATGGGCCGCCCCAAGAGCACGGCAGAGTTTCTAGGTCGCGAAAGTCTCCTTTCCGCTGTCCATGGCATTCTGGCTGGTCAGAGGAGCCGATGGCGCGCCAACAAGTGCTGCGTTGGTCGGCGTTCGGCCACGTGGATGCAAGCATGTCCTCGTACTCGAGCGGCCCAGCATGGTAAATTTGTACAGCCTCTGAGTACAACATGGGGATAGCAGATGCAACTCTTGGCACAAGCATACTGTGCGACTGCCCAACAAAAGCCACGGCAATGCCTTTTCAGGGCATTGCCGTTTAAGGGCATGCCGCTGACGAGTCGTTCGAGCCCTGCGCATGTGAACCGGTGGACAGCCAACCCAACCAATTCGTGGGATTGCTTCCTTCTCGCTGATCGAGGTTCGGACTGGTCTGATGAACCACGGCATTTCAGGCCTTTTGGGCCGTTGAGTATTCCGTCGTTCGGGGTCTGCCCATCGGCTGTGTGGAATGCGATGTTTGTTGTACAAAGCAGAGCACGCGCTCACTCCGATCAAGCCCCCACGATCTGCAATCAATCACTGGGCAGTGCTGCGAGTGGCTTGGTCCCTGCAATTGACCCTGCATGCTTGTCTGATTACTCTGTTGCGGGACCTCGGCAAGACCAGAATGGCAGCCAACTCGAGCGAGCGAGCGCGACAACACGGCGGCCCCAAGTCAATGAGAACAGGCTACTGTACGGTATAATTAGGACCGGTTTACTGGTCGCATTGGCCCAAGAAGTGTGCACCTCAGGTTTCTAGGGCCCGCGCCACCAGATTTGACACTCCCACCGCGACAGAGCATCCTGTCTTTGCGATGCTGGACACCATGCAACTGTTGAATTGCTTTCCGCATGCGACGCTGTGCCCTCAAGGTCTGAGATCCAATTCCGTTTCGTCGGAACGGCCCCTTGTGTTGTTCTTCACATGTCCGGGCTCCGCTGGATTCGGTCGCTGTGGGAGTCAATGGGACCGTATTCCGCTTCGTAGCGGGGCCTGCGGGTTCAAAATCCCACCGAGTCCGTGTTGTCCGGCGCCGTGCCGATCGGCCGTGCACGGATTCGCGGAGCTTGAAATGCTCATGGCGACAAATAAAGATTCATAGACAACCCTCCGCTGGCTCACCTCGTGCTGTATTCATCCGTCATCTCCCTGTTCGCCATGGCTGCAAAACTTATCCTTCCGCTGCTAAGCGCCTCGGTGTTCTACGCCATTTTCTACTTCGCGACCGTCAACGGACTCCGGGGCCTCGCCGACGAAAGTATAGCTGCTGGGACGCTTCCCGGGACAGACAACTGGCCGCTTCGGACAGTGTACACTGGCATTGGCAAGATCGATGAGCTTCTGACGATCTTGACGACATTCTTCTGGCCTGTCACGGACTCAACTCACCCCGCATTGCTTCTGCACTCAATCGCTTTCTCGGGCACGTTTTGCTCCGCCTGGGTTCTTGTCACACTCGAGTCATGGAGAAAGGGCAATAATGGCACAATTCTCGCGCTGTGAGGGGGACCACTGTGGTAATGAGCCTCAGCGAAGAACCATGAAGCTAATGCGCGACAGTCCATCCATCTTCGGCTTGACAGCACAAGCCCTCACGTTCGCTTTTGCGACGCCACTGTACTGCGCTGTGCAGGTCCACACCTCGGTCACCGCCGGAAAGCCGTCAGCACAGAACCTTCGGATCCCCAACAGCGTCCTGCGAGTGCTGCCATTTGCCTTTGTGTTGGGCATGCTTGTTCCCTCGTCGCTGATGCTTCTTCCCGTTTCCGAGACCATCACCCCTGATGTCAAGCAAATCCTGATTGCCATATGGCAGCCCTGGCCTGCCTATGTTGCGATCCTGCTGCGCTTTGCGCACACGGCGCTGCCTCCAACGGGACAGGAAGAGGACTCGCCCCAGAGTACCGCCAAGGGTCGCCGCTCTCTCCGCTACGCCTACGCCTTTGCCTTTGCCAACACCGCCATTCCGCACATTGTCACCCTGACAGTCTCCCTGGCGACCGTTGCCGCGCCGGCCATCTTCGACCCGAAGTACCGCGAGGCTCTGCACCCCCTAAACGTGTTCCACACGCCGCTGCCCTGGACGTCGCCCGTAGTACAGGTCACTACAGTAGGTGAAGGCGTGCACGGCTTCTTGCGATGGGACTACTTGATCGGCACTGCGGGTGTCTTGGTATGGGCTATTAGCCTTTACAGAACAGCTCACCGCTTTGTCTATGGCCGCGTGGATAACATTGGCCTGCTTTTGAAGACAGCGTGGCTGACCGTGCTTGCCGGTCCCGTTGGAGCCGCTGTTGAGTTGATGTGGGAAAGGGATGAGTTGGTATTCCACGCCGGCAATGTGAAGTCCGAGGCCAGGAAGGTGTAGGTCCCAATGCGGGTTTGTATAATATCAGGATCGGAGATAGCTGCTCGTGTTCAATTGAGGAACATGTGAGAAGTATAACGGTCTCTCAATGAACCCCAGTCCTCGTTCATCATGCTCAATACCATCATTCAGTCATCCCAAGTCACAGACTTCGTCACCAGAAACTCCTCCATCCCTTCGGCTGCGTTGAAGCGACCCCAGCCACTACGATTGATCCCACCGAAAGGAAGCGCGGTCTCGTCGTGCACAGTCATACTGTTGATGTGCACCGCACTGAAGTGCCGCTTGTCAGCAAAAGCTTGTGTTCCCCTGGGACGAAATGACCTACCCAGTCTCAAGTTTCCGGGCCAAGGCAAAGCCTTTGCGAAGGTCTCGAGTGAAAATGGAAGCCGACAGTCCGTAGCCGGAGTTGTTCGCAATCTCAACTGCCTCGTCTTCGTCTTTGACCGTGACCCAGCCCATCAGTGGCCCAAAGTTCTCCTCCTTGTATGCTTCCATGTCCTTGGACAGCTTCCCAATGACGGTTGGGATAAAATGTGCGGCATCGCCGCTCGGTGGCGGGCCGCCAGAGAAGATCTCTGCCCCTTTCTGTTGAGCGTCCGCAAGCACGGAAGCCAAGCGCGACGCCGAGTGGGACGAGACGACGAGCGGGGGAGAATTGCTCTGCGCTTGTAAAGCCTCCAGGCCTTCCTTCAACGCCTTCAAGAATTGCGCTTCGATATCGATGTGTACCAGTAAACGGTCCGTTGACATGCAGATTTGCCCGGACTTTCTAGAGTCAGATCTCCCTACACAACTTCCGCTTAGCATGAGGAGGGAGTACTCACGTTGGCGAAACCGCCCATGATGCATGCCTGTGCGGCCTTTTGCAAGTCGGCATCAGGCAAAATAATGGCGCTATTTTTGCCGCCGAGCTCGAGCAGAACCGGTTTCAAGTTCTGGCTACAGAGGCAAGCCACCTTTCTGCCGACAGATGCGCTACCAGTGAAGTTGACCTTCCGCACAGCGGGGTGCTCAACCATGACCCTCGCCAGCTCAGCCGCCGCAGTCGGTTGGCATGAAATGACGTTGACAACACCGGGAGGTACGCCCGCATCGTGGAAGATCTTGCCCAGAGCCCAGTAGGACCGCGGGGTATGCTCCGACGATTTCAAAACCGTGGTGTTCCCCGTTGCGATTGCCGTTGCTGCCGCACGAACACCGAATACATATGGCGCATTCCTGAGTTGCTGGTGAGCCATCGAGGCATTGAATCCTGCAAAAAGCCGCGACAAGGTTGACACTCACCATGGGACGATGCCGAGGATGACGCCATATGGTTCCTTCCACACCATTGCACTCTGGCCCTCTGCCTTGACCGTGGGCACACTGCCGCAAATGCCGGGCGCACGCCCGGCGCAGTCCCGGAACATGTCGATGGCCAGCTGCAAGATGATGTGGCGCGCAACGAAGGCGTCGGTGCCCATTTCCGTTCGAACGTATCCGCACAGCTCGTCAGCGCGCTCCTCCATTAGCATCGCCGCTTTGAGCAGGATGCTCTGGCGGAGCATGGGCTTCGTCGCCTTCCATCCTGGCAGCGCAGCAGAAGCGGCCTCCACGGCGAGCAGTGCGTCTGCGGGGGATGCAGACGCCGCGTCCCAACAGGCCTTGCCTGTAGAGGGATCAATGACTGGAAAGCTCTCGGCGTGAGTTTCCTCAGTGCCGTTGATCCAGGAAGGGACGGTGAAAGCCATGGTAATGCGCTGTGCTCCTGCTCGAACAATGACTGCGGGCCGACGCGGGCTGTTCCGTGCTGGAGAGGATGCAGCAAGAAGACAACTTCGAATCGCAGGTACGATTGAACGCGGGGAAGGGGGTTCCAGAACAGACGCGAAATCATCCAACAGATGCAAGCTCGGTTATTCTGATCTTCCACCGCGACGACCCGCCTGTGCGGCTCTGTTAGGCACCAAATCGAATGAAGCCTAGGGTCAACGCAGTAAGCCTGCAGGAAGCCGGAGGATCAACGTCGCAAACCAATTCGATTGCGAAAAGTATGGAGACCGACGTCACCAGAGCCATTTTTTTTTTGGCTTGACTGTCGTGATCCCGCAGGTGAGTGTCAGTAGCGACAGGACTGACAGCGGCGTGACTCTGGTGACGGTAGCGCGAGCCGCATGAACTCTGGCTTGTGATTTCGCGTTATTCCTCTTGGAGTTGTCGCTGGGCCATCGCCATCCTGATGTTTGGTGGCCCAGCCACCTGTGCAAATCATCTATTTTCTCACTGTTGTAGCCTCTGTGCAGGAGCGAGATATTTCCAAGCCCTTCCTTGGGTGGAAGCGTTCACCCGACTACTGATCAGCTCGTGAATTGGCAGGGTGAAGAGTGAAGACCCAGATTCAGTCGCAAGATCATTTTGTGGCACTTGCGCAGCGCGCGCCTCACAATCCCAGTCGGCGTACAATGTACCGTAGCAAATCGTGCGAAACGGTGTCAAGTTGAGTAGGAGGGTAAAGTTCGTCGTGTTCCAAGCTGCTGGAGTTTGAGTTGTGCTAGCAGGTTCATTGTCGCAGGCTGTGGTAGCCCTCATGGTTTGTCCCGGTTACCAGTCTCCGGCATCGAGAAGAAGGCAAGGTCAACGGCGCGAGAAGCCACGGTGCTCGAAGAGCGCGCAGACGAGACGGCGAAGGCATCGAATGCGGCGTGCCTCGCGTTCGCTGTTATTTCTTGTCTACCTCTCTGGTCTCTCCTCCCCGCTCTGCGCCGTCGTCGGACTCGGCGCGGCCACAGCAACCATGTTAGCTACATCATCCATGTCGATGTGGCCACCCCATTCGAGTCTTGCAAAGGTGACAACTCACTTGCGGTGGCGATGCCTCCATTCCTATGTGCTGTTTGTCTGGCTCTAGCCGTGGGGTGCGACCAGTACGGCTTTCGACATCTCGATTGGCGCTGCTGTTGGCGAGCGGGTACAGAGTTCCATTTCAACAGTATCGGTATCGAACGCCTTGGTGTTTGTCCAGAATAAGGAGAGCAACCTCCAGGCGCTATCAGGCCATTCAGGCTATCTTCGTCCTTTTTGCTCGCCGACATGGGCGCATTATAGTCGTTTGCTGACATGACCTGCGGTATGGCACGATGCACCAAACACGAGCGAGGCGCAGCAGCCACCATGATGATCTCTCGCCAGTCTGGCTCGTCGTTCTGTCGTGAAAGCTGAGTAAGACTTGATGGGCCAAGCCGCCGCAACTCAATCTGTTTCGAAAGAGCTGATCGACGTGGCGCCATTGTCTGCGCCGCCTCTTGGAGGTCATTGTTCATGTTCAAGTGGACGCCACAGTTCACCGACACACCAGCTCAGGAGGCTTCGATATGGTTACAAAAATAACTTATGCTCCTCAGCATGTCCGACGGGGCGTCGCTCCCCTTCGGTCCGTCGGCCAGCGCCATTTCTCACCAATTTGGAATCGCTCATCTCCAGTCTCACGTTTTTGGGGTGGATATTCAGCCCGCGAGCAGATCTTGGAGCCTCAAATCCACAAGAGCAGCCCCGCGTCAGCATTTGAGCCCTGCTAGGTTGACGAAGGCGGCGGCGTTGCTGACGCTTTGGCGCTGACTCTCAGTCCCAAATAACCCCAGACTTTTTCAGAATCGATGTATATGAAGATGGACCGGCCCAGCGTTGCCGTCGCCAAGTCGAGCATGGGAGTCGCGTGTTGACTGCAGAGGGCACGAGTATTTTGTTCATGTTTCCTTCATGTTCCGTCCAGAACCAAGATGTCACGACAAATCGACACAATGCACATGCCCTTAAAGAGGCGCAACATGAAGGTTGTCATCGTGAGCGCCAGCCGGTAAGAGCCTGACCCACCAGGACCGCGAGACTCGACCAAGGCGCTAAGTTCTGTGCCGATGGAAATGAAGGACTGGAACTCTTGGGCTGTACAGCGCGATGCAAATGCTGGGCTATAGCCCGTACCACATGAAGGAAGTGCTTCTTCATGGCAGCGGGCACATGAAGGTTCTCATTGAGGCCATTCGTGCGGAACACAACAGGTTTTCCGGCATCCAGAGATACCGCAAAGAGGACTACGCAAAGTGGTTCGCCAATTACGACGTCAGTCGTGTGCATCGCTTAACGCAACGAGTGCAGTCGCTGACCGGGCCGCAGTGCTTGATCGAGGTGCCTTTCTTCATGGGCTCGGAAGCAATCGAGGCCTACGTTGACGACCCAGACGTCAAGTTTATCCTCACCGAGCGAGACCCCGACAGGTGGGTTAGTTCGATCAACAACACTGTGGCGGGTGTGGTGCAAATGGCTTCAGCCTTCCCGATCCGCTTGCTCAAACACTTCAACGACGACCTTTATTATTTCTTCCTGCTCAATGAGCTCATTTACGCCTCAATTTCCGATTGCACCTTGCCCGGCGATGCGGAGAACAGACCCAACATGCGACGGAACTACATGTCGTAGTAAGTGCTTGACTGCTTGTCACGAGTGCTGGTCTCCAGTCATCGTCGCTAACACGCCTTGTCCAGCATCGCGATGGTGAAAAGAACCGTTCCGTCTGATCGACTTTGCCAAATCCAACTGGAGAACGGCCTGGGGTGGAACGAGATATGTCCTTTTCTCGGCATCGACGTGCCCGACGAAGAATATCCGCGCGGGAATGAGCCTGCAAAGTTCCAGGCGTTGGTGGGGGATTGGCTGCGTCCACGGATGGCGAGCGCAGCGCTGAAACTGGCGGGTCTGGTGACGGTCTCAGCGACTGCAGGGGCAGGGCTGTGGGTGTGCCGGAAAACAGTGAAGGCTGCTGTTTCCACAGGACTGGCGGCTTTGTCACGGCCATAAGATCAATTAATAAGAATGACTGTCTTCAAAGAACGGTTCAGGCTACTGGTAAATGAAGCTTGTGGCCCAATTGAAGTAGGACGCTGGCCAAGTCGACACGTTCCCAATGCAGGCCATCGCGAGCGAGGTGCCGGGGTTGCAGAGATCCAGCAGCAGCTCGCCTTTAGTACGACATACGTTGACAAGCAGCCTTTCCGGAGCCGCCTCTTCCCCAGGATGGTGTTTGGGGCTCATCTCACATCTACCTGTCGTTATGATCCATTAGGTTGGCAGAGAAGTCCGAAGTCGTAGTCTCTTCGGGCAGCGGAACTCATCACCAAGATGCTAGCTGCCTCGCCGTCTGGTGCCCTGGCCGCCAGAAGAAAACTGGGGAGCACAGCCCTGTGTCGCCATGTCGGCAACTGATTCCACATGCCAGGGGCAGCAGCAGTCCTCCCGGCGACGTTCAGTGAGTCTCAAAGCACCATTGATCCACAAAGTCACCCAGGCACGTCAGCTTACACGGCCGAACAAGGGTTCGGCCCGTGCTGGACTCTCCCGTGTTCTTGTTCTTCTGGTATGTCTTATTACCTGCCAATTTCAGGCAACATCGAATGACTAATCGCTTCCCATTGCGCTTTATCTTCAGCGCAGATGGATCATATTAATCTGGATCAGTGGCTACTGCTGTGTCGTGGTTGTCCTTGTCCTTGTGTCTCGTCCTTCCCCCACTCAGGCCTCCATACGCTCTGTCGCAGCTAAGGATCAGTTCAAGACCAGCATTACTCGCTAGGCACAGGCCCAAGGGTTGCCGAAATCAGCTCTGGCCAAAAAGACAGCATTGCCAAGGGAGTTCCATCGTTCTTTGCAGTCTCGTGCTACAATGCGATCGCACGTCCTTGTCGGCGCAGCGTCCTTGCTGGCCGCGTCAGTAGCTGCAAGCCCGACGGTTGTGGACAAACAGCACCAGGTCACCTACCGCGGCCTCGAGCGTAACGGCATCGAAGCTTTCCTCAACGTTCCCTATGGCCAGAACACGGGCGGGTCCAATCGTTTCAAGCCTCCAAAGCCCTACGTCGCGAAAAGAGGCAGCACAATCGACGCGCGCGCCTATGGACCGGCCTGTCCCCAGGCGCTCGGAGAGTGGGTGCTGCCCATCGCACTCAGCAATGTCACCGAGATTTCGGAGGACTGCCTCAACCTGAACGTGGCTCGGCCCAAGGGTACATGCTCCAACGACCGGCTGCCCGTCATGGTCTACATTCACGGTGGGAGCTTCTGGGCGGGGCAGAACTCGGAGCTAAACATCAGGCCGGACGGGATGGTTCTCGAGTCGACCGCGAATGGACTACCCATCATCCACGTCGCCATGAACTACCGCCTGGGCTGTAAGTGATCCGTACACATCCAATTGCAGTTGGGCGTTTGCTCATGCTTCCAGTCTTTGGCTTCGCGCAATCGGACGCTCTCCAGAAGGAGGGATCCGAGAATGCAGGCCTGAAAGACCAGCGGCTGGCCCTGGAGTGGGTGCACAAAAACATTGGCGTATTCGGAGGCGACCCTGATCGCATCACCATCTTCGGCCAGTCTTCTGGAGGTGGGTACACAGCCGCCTGCGGCTAACAAATCTCACTGTCTGGAACGCTAACCTCAAGGCCAGGCCTGTCCGTGGGCATGCAAATCATGGCGTATGGTGGAAACAAGCCGGTCCCGTTCCACCAAGGTATCTGCGAGAGTCAGGCCCTGGAGCCCGGCATCACGGGCAACTTCACCATCGATGCGATGAAGGCTCTGGTGGACCACGTCGGCTGCAACACGAGCGACTTGCACTCCAAAGACACGGTTCAATGTCTCCGAAAATTCGACATGCAGACGCTTCTGAACGCGTCGCTGGCAACATACCAGAGCGACATTGCGCATAACATTGGCGACATCTGGCTGCCTGTTGTGGACGGCGACTTCCTCCCAGCGGCACCATCCCGACTTATCAAGGAGCGCAAATTCGCCAATGTGACTACCATGATCGGTTGGTGCGACAATGATGTGACGTTCTTTACCGATACTGCTATCAAGACGGCCGACGACACGCTCAAGTTTATCTCGGCGTACCTTCCCGACGTGACGAGCTCCAACATCAACAAGCTCCTTGCGCTCTACCCGGCGGCCGATTTCCCGGCAGACAAGGCTGCGGGACTGTCAAGCGAATTTTATCGCTCGGCCAGGATTTTCAGGGACATCCTCATGACGTGCCAGCCGACGTGGTACGCCGAGCACATTGCGTCCGCCGGCAACGACGTGTACCTCTACAACTGGAACCAAACGATCCTGGACCCTGTGCTGGAAGCGATCACTAACCAGACCGGGTTTGGCCCCATTCACACGTCCGAGTTTGCCTACATCTTTGGCAACCTTTCGCACTACGACATCAACGGCTATCCTTTCCACCCGAGCAAGTCCGACTATGCGCTACAGCACCGCGGTTCGAGATCCTGGTCTACGTTTGCCTCCATCGGCCAGCCTGGCCAGCGCGGACGCGACACCTTCCACGGATTCACGACAGCGTTTCCTGGTGGCAAGGAGACCGATGTCTTTGTTGTAGGCGGGCCGCATGAAGGTCTTTCGGCATTTGATGGGCCGAGGGCGCATCCCGCCATTCAAGGCCAGAAGCTGAAGGAGAGGTGCGCTTTCATCAACTCGCCCGAGATGATTGACCAATTGCGGTACTAGCGGCAAACTCCCCCGTTTCTCCTGTACATAGGTCTGCAGCACTGTGCACTAATCAATAGATTCTGCTTGTGTACCACTTGCAAGAGCTGCTGAGCCAAAAGGAGGGTTGACTATTGCCGGTGGCAGGGCGCGGCTCCAACTGTTGGCGAGCAGCACGCGACAGCTGCTGTGTGACAACGCGCCCCTTGTTGCCCAGCTTGCATACGCCACTGCTCCTTGGCTGCACATGTGGAACTGTGCAGTGCCGGCCGTCCGGTGGCGCCCTGGTCTTCCAAGGTGTCGTTGCTCGTCGAAGCAAAGGGGCGCCCCAAGGGGCAGGCACTGCGCATGTGCGGCCTAGCAGAATGGCAGCCAAATCCGAACCACGTCGCAACACTGTGGCCTGTCTGTCCAATGAAGCGAAGGGGGGTGATATGGCGGAACTCGACCAAGGAGATATATCGTCAAGTTGTGCCAGGAAGCAACCCGGGTTTGGTCGCGGGCGCACATGTCCGGCTGATCGGCCGTCCCTCCAGCAAGGACTATGCGCATGGTGCAGAATTGTGGTCAACCCCGTATTCAACTGCATGGCTTTCATGCACCTCGCACGCAAGACTGAACTCTCTCAGGATCTGCAACTCGCCCAATTGCCGCCGCTCGGTTTCAAGGCCAGGGCATTAGTGGAGGAGCATGGG